TGACATCATCCATTTCTGAAATCTTGTTGTTTATCTTTTGGATTTTTAATTGTTGTTTTTGTATAATTTCTAGTTGTGAATTTATTTTGGCATTTTGTTCCTGCATCATTTTTCTGAATTCTTCCAATTTTTTGTCTGTATTTTCCATGAATTTGTCTATTTTTTCCTCATGTTTGTCAGCTTTTTGCCTCAGTTCTCGGAAAATTCTGAGTATTAGAGATTTGAATTCCCTATCAGGTACTTCTACTGCATTTTCTTCCACAGGAGAGTCATCTGGTGTTTTAATTTGGACAGCTACTGGAACCATCCTGTACTGTTTTTGTAAATCTTTTGATATTGTCTGCTGTTTTCGGGGCATTCGGTAGTTATTTTTCTTGTTGATTGATTGTAGATTTGTTTGTTTTGTACCGGTTGTGTTTTGTCTCCCGCTGGATGCTCTGTGAGGCTGCTTTCTCGTACCCCTGTTTGCTGGTCTCCGATAGGAGTCCAAGATGGTGGATCCACGCTGCGTTAGCTGGTACAGGACCTCTGCATGAATCTCTCCTCGCTCTCCGTTCTCTGTCAGTTTTCTCACTCCATTTGGTGCTTGGCTGAGTTCTTTACCTCTTCATTTTATGTTTTAGGGTTTCAGGATTGTTGTATTCTCTGTTTGGCTTAGTTTTTCAGATCTTTGTTGTGGAGGGATGGCGTGGTGCTTCTGCCTAGAGGGCCATTTTGCCGGAACTCGCATTATTATTTTTTAGCACTTAAAATATATGGTGATTCATGACCCACCTAATACGTGAAAAGTGATTTTTAGAAGACAATGTTAACTAAAACTAATAGTTCTACCATAAGGTAAAATTTAACATGTTACTTTTAATTTAATCATCTTTAACGTAAAAACAAACAAACAAGAACAGCAACAAAATTAAGAATGACCAATCTATTCCTAGTGTTGAAATGCTTTATTATTCCTTTTGTGGAAGATCAACTGTTTTTGTTTTTTAATACAAATGTGTCTCTCTGACTACTATCTTCTGGACTGAATTGTTTTGTGAGTCAGTCTCTGAGTGGGTCTGGTAATTCAATCATACTATCTGCTTGTCAACTTGGGAAATTTCTGGCATGTAACTCCTTTCTGCAGGATAGTCAGTGCAAAGCGATACTCGGTGAATGAATGTTAACTCTTCAGTTTTATTTGTTTCACGGTATACCAGTCACTTTTTACGCCTGCAGACCTTATAGGTAGAACATTACTCTGGTTCTAATGCGTTTAGCATCAAGGTGGGCCCCTTTTGAAATGCATGAAGCTCAGCAGACTGGAGCTGGAGCCTCATTGTTGAGCTTTCATTAGGCAATGCTTTCTAGATGTCTTAGTTTTGTAAACTTTTGCCTTTTTTTCCTTTATTTTTGTGAGATAAGGCTTGCAAGCATGATTATGGCTTTCCTGTTTGTGATGGTTAGCGAGCTCTGATGGGTTTGCCTATGGCTATTAGATTTCTGACATTTCACAGTAATAAGAAACAAAATGAAACATATGAATGTAACTATAAACGTGGTTCCAAATCCCTCTGACTACTTTCTTCCTTTAGTCACTGAGTTACTAAATTACATATCGTTTGCTCTTTAAAGACAAATTATAAACAATTTCTTAGTTTAGTACCATTCTTCCTAGAACAGAGCATTAGTATACAGTCTTCTGCATCTTTTAGGAAAGAAGGAAAAAAAATAGTGACTTTATGTAAGAAGAGCACTAAAGAGGACTGAAAATTTCTGCCTCTTTTCATTGCTGACTCAGCACATGGCATCTGGGTAAACTCGTTAAGCTCCGAGAGTCCCAGCTTCTCTATAGGAAACATAAGGTTGATACCATTGAGCTACCGTAGCTACCTGAGTGGTGAGGATTAATGGGCCATGAACATGCTGTGCTTCTCTGAAGAACTGATCTGCTAATTATATAGTTTCACTGATATCTAACCAGGTATATTATTTATCTTACGTAAATTTCCATAGAAGTTAAAGAGGATAAGATAGAGACTCCCTAAAAGAATAAAAGACTCATGGATAATTTCAGACCATAAATTAAATAGTTCTTGTTAACACTATAGTGGCAACTATTTATAACCAGCAAATTCAAGGAAAGAGTAACACTCCTTAACATATTTAAGTTTGTTACATTACCAATTTTTTTCAAGTTTTATACATTTTAAATTTACAAAACTTGGTGTCACTGAAACAGAAATAAAGGGTTAGTGTTGATACAAAAATTGTTGGCTAAATATTTTCCAGGTATAGGTCATGTGATTATGTAAGAAGGAAAAAAAAAAGCAAAAGAAACTTTACACATTCTAAAATTCTATAACAAATCATACCTGGAATAAGTGTGGAAACAAATTAGTATATTCCAGCATAAATTAAAAAATATTCTCTATTTACAAAGAAAGCAACATTGATTTCAATTTTGGTGGCCTACTATTAGTCAGAATGATTGAAGGTATGTCAGTATACTTGTTAATGAAATATGATCAAGAAGTAGATTTAAAAAAAAAAAAACAAAAAACAAACTCCACTGCTACAGAATAAATTTGGAAATAACACTAAAAAAATTAATCTTCTGAGCAAATATAAATATTCATAACCAATTTAAAGTTTAAAGTCTATTTACTAACATTTAACTGAAGCATGTAAAAGGAAAAAAGTGGACTTTGAAGTCCAGAGATATCCATGTTCACATCCTCACTTTGTTAATTTCTAGTTTACAGTGACAGGCAAAACACTCAATTACCTTGGACCTCAGTTTCTATAACTAGATCAAGATACGAATGATGCTTTCTTGCCAAGGTTGTTTTAAGAACTAGAAATGAGTGTAAGACAGGGCTAGGGCCATTTTCTTAAAACCACTGTCTCCTCAAGACAGCACCTCACCCAGCCCATTTCCTGAAGTTGTTTTTCTCCTCAGAACTTCTTTGAAAAGAAACAGCCAACAGCTAGCTGGAACCAGCTGAAACGGGTCCTGCCCTCCATCTTGGCACTCCAGATAACCTTCAGCTCATTAACTGCCTCATGCATGGTAAATCTGTGCCCCTGGGTGAAGAGCTAACATGCTAATGAACAAAAATGGCTAACTTCTTCCTGTGCAGGGAATCGAACCCAGGCCTTAGAAAACGCTTACTCATTCTGGAACGCTCCACGCCTGTGTGCTTGCCATTTTGTATTTTGTAACTGATCTTGCCTATATAAACCAGCTTCAGTAAGCTACCTGTGAGCAGTTTTGGAAGGCACTTAGTCCCAACTGTCTCCTTGCTTGGCCAGCCAATAGAGCTGCCTTTCATTCTCCCCAACTCAGTCTCTTTTTAGTCCCGGATGGAGTCCTGCCAAGCAGAACTGGGAGTTCCCAGCAACGGGTATATAAATGCCTAACAGTGCTTAATAAACAATCAGTATAACTTGTGGGTCATCTTTTTGATATAGATAATATTTAGGAGACTATACCTTAAAATATAGCAAAAGTTTTCAGTATTTTTTGAATGCTACAGAATCTACAGAACTGGTAGTAAAAGGGTTAGGAATCTGAAACTTCTGATTAATTCAATCTATATTATCTTCCTTAAATCATACAACAATGTTAAACTCTATTTTACAACTGATCATTCTAATCACAATGATCATTATAATATTTATTGATGGTGACTCACAGATATATCTCATCCCCAAAACATATTTTGTTGTTCTTAAAAAACTACATTGTTCCCTGAGGGACCAAATTACTGGGCTGACGGCTGTGGGGACCATGGTCTCAGGAACATCTAGCTCAATTGGCACAACAGAGTTTATAAAGAAAATGTTCTACATTCTACTTTGGTGAGTAGCATCTGAGGTCTTAAACGCTTGTGAATGGCCATCTAAGATACTCCATTGGTCTCATCCCATCTAGAGCGAGGGAGAATGAAGGAAACCAAAGACACAAGGGAAAGATTAGTCCAAAGGACTAATGGACCACAACTACCACAGCCTCCACCAGACTGAGTCCAGCACAACTAGATGGTGCCCAGCTACCACTACCAACTGCTCTGACAGGGATCAGAATAGAGGGTCCCGGACAGAGCTGGAGAAAAATGTAGAACAAAATTATTACTCACAAAAAAAGACCAGACTTACTGGCCTGACAGAGGCTGGAGAAACTCTGAAAGTATGGCCCCTGGACACCCTTTTAGCTCAGTAATGATGTCACTCCTGAGGTTCACCCTTCAGCCAAAGATTAGATAGGCCCATAAAACAAAAAGAGACTAAAGGGCACACCAGTCCAGCAGCAAGGACTAGAAGGCAGGAGGGGACAGGAAAGCTGGTAATAGGGAACCCAAGGTCGAGAAGGGAGAGTGTTGACATATCGTGGGGTTCGTAACCAATGTCACAAAACAATATGTGTACTAATTGTTTAATGAGAAGCTAGTTTGTTTTGTAAACCTTCATCTAAAGTACAATTAAAAAAAAAACTATATTGTTCTATTATTGTACTTAGCATGCAGACCTAAAAGAAAAAATATAGAAAGCACATTGAGGAATACTTACCTCCCATTTTATAATCATTTCCTTGGGTTGAGAAGCTTGAACTCTTATGTTCTGTGGATTCTTGTCTGGAGCTGAAAAATTATAAGCATTAAAATTATTTTTCCCATTATATGGTAATATACAGGTAAATCATTATGTCATCCTCCACCCTACTTCCCCAAACTGATATTTAAATAACTTTGTTCATATTTATTACTTTGTATCTGATCTAGGTCCTAAAAATACATATAAAGTTTTTAAATAAATGTTTTATTTAAAGGAGTAATGTAATGTTCTTGAGTCCATTCAGAGGCATCTTGGAAGAAAAGCTTGGCAACCTACTTCTGGAAAAAAAAAAATCAGGCATTGAAAACCTCTGTGGAGCACAATTCTACTCTGACACACATGGGGTTGCCATCAGCCAAAGTTGACTTGAAGGCAACTGGTTAATGTAATCATAAAATATATTCCAGTGGATCAATTTTATTAGAAAGGACTAAGTATGGAGTCCAGTGCTAAATTCAGTTTATACAAAAATAACAAAATTATTTGATTTAGTTAGTACTTGTATTGCTATTTCTTTGTCCAAAAAGAGGATTATATCCTAGCATATTTATTTCACCCAGAAAAAAGAAAGAAAGAATATATGCTATGACCTCATAGATGGCCAGTGCCAATTTAGTAACAAATTTTAGCTCTGTTATTCTTGAGATGAATTTCTTTTTTTTTTTAAGTCTTGGGAATTTAGTTAGATGTTGAGATATAAAGATACACTAATCTATAAAAGCTAATGATGTTAGATAAATTAAAAATTTAACAAGGTGCCCTTAATGAGTCAGAAGATTTATTCCAGAAAGGTGAATCCTTGGCTTTCTATATACTGAGCTTCAGTTTAGGACTTACTTTACGATATCTAATTTAAACCGGATAGGTATCAGAAATTACTCAGAGCAATGCTTGCTGGTATAATCACCCCTAATTCCCTGCTGTCTAACAAACATTTATGCAGTAATTATGAGACTGTATACTTTGAATAAAGAGCCCTGGTGGCACAGTGGTTAAAGCACTCGACTGCCAACCAATAGGTTGGTTGTTTGAACGCATGGCTCAGTGGGAAAAAGACGTGGCAGTCTACTTCGCTAAAGATTTACAGCTTTGGAAAGCCTACGGGACAGTTCTATTCTGCCCTTTAGGGTCTCCATGAGTCAGAATTGATTTGACGGCAGTGAGCTATACTTTCATATTTTGTGTTACTAGTTTACAGAATTTTTCAAGCTCTCTATTTGGGGACATTTAAAATCCTGCACCACTATCTCGATCTTTTTAATGTTTTTCATACATTCAAAGACGGAGCAAAACTTGAGCCCTGGTGGCACAGTGGTTAAGAGCTTGGCCGCTAACCAAAAGGTCGGCAGTTTGAATCCACCAGCCACTCCTTGGAAACCCTATGGGGCAGTTCTACTCCGTCCTATAGGGTCGTTATGAGTCGGAATTGACTCGACAATATTTTGTTAGAAACCTGATGTAAGAACCTACATACCTGCCGGAGGTGTTTCATGATGGTCTGATGGCTGGCTGGGCTGACTTCTCCCTACTTCATTCACAGCTATGACCCTGAACTGGTATGTCACATACGGAGCCAAAGACAACATGACCGTTGTTTCCTTTCCTTGGGCTCGAGTCAATTCCTCCCACCTTCCAGGTTCCTCTTTGTTTCCTTCAAATTCTACAATATACTCTGGCATTATGTACATGGGGGGAAAAAAAAAAACAGAATCTGTTAAGTATGTTTAAATTATATGAAGATTTATATACAATTTGACAGTTTAAAGGGGTGTTTAAGAGGGATAATCCACCAAAGGTGGTAAAATGGCTTTAATATTAATTTTGATGCTGTAATGTAAGTATAATGCCATCCCAAGTCTTCCCTACCGCTGATGTTGCTATTGTGGTCATCGCCAGCTTCCCAAGTGAGCCGAACACTCCTGTTCTGTCTTTCAGACAAGAGAAGGTTTTCTGGTGGATCCGGGATATCTAATGAAAGACAAAGGTAAGGAAAATGTAGATCATTGCCTTTGTTTACCTGATTCCCTCACTTAGCCATGTTGCCAGCCATCTTTCCTCTCCAAGGTCTACGTCTCCACTCTGAGTTGTCCACATCTTACCAGCCCTTCTGGTTCTTTTTCAAATGCAGATTTTTTTCACATCTATTTCCCAGTTGGAGGTATTATCTCCCTCTATGCACAAGAGAGTTCTCAAAAGGCCATCCTTGACAACGGGCACCAGGGTTTTTTAGGGGTGGTCATTAACAATGATGATTCCTAGGCCCTGGCTTACTGAATGAGTTGGGCCCAGGAACCTGCATTCCTAAACCATTCTCTAAGGGAAGACGACGTACACTCAAGTTTGAGAATCATGATCTATATCAAATGGACCACTTACTTTCTTCCATCTGGTATGCTTACTTATACGCCTAATTCTTTTCCTATATGTGACTAAGCACATCTTCCAGGGTAAAGACCCGATTTTATTAATCTTTGCATTATCCACAATGCTTTGCACATAAATGTTTTGTGACCAAATGAGTAAGTGAAAAATATACTATCACTTCAGTCATGCATATAATTATCATATTAGAGCAATAAAATGAGGTCCTACAGTTATAGAAAAATAAGACAGAGCACATGATGTCAGTCTTTTTTTCTGCAACTGCTTCGAATTTTTATTATAATTTATAACAAAGAAGTCTCAGTATATTCTAGTAACTTCTATACTCTCTTGGCTTTGAGTTCTGAAAAAGAGTAGGAAGACCGTGTATTTTGGAAGAGGAGGTTTGGCACTGAGGAATGTTGTGACAGAAACTAGAAAGTTGAATAGGAGGTGACAAATTTTAAGAGTATCAAAGTACAGGGAAATTACTGCTTTTAAAATAAAAGAAACAGTAAAAAGAAATCTCTCTAATGGTCCTTACTTTCAAAATTTGGTTTGAATTCTCTCAAGTATTCTACAGCATTGATCTTTTCTCAGAGAAAGCAATGAACGTATTATCTAATGCGGCCTTTCAATGGGTGCTTTCTTCTCTAGTGGAGAGCAACATGTACTGCACCTGTTAAATGTTTGCCAATAACTGGAAATTTACAACGATAAAAAACAAACATTGTTTTCAATTCATAAGGGAACATGCCTATTTTTAAAATGCCGTTGGTGACTGTGTCCAAACTTCAGGGACTTAAGTTATTTCATCAACAGATTACAGAATCTCTGAGTTCCGAAACTTCGGTTTCTCTTCAGCACTACTAAAAGCCCACTCGTTTCTGGAGGTTCCTGAAGCAAACAGAGCAGCGGGTTGCATCTGAGATTAAAACCTGGTCCCTCTGACATGAAAAGGAATCAAACTGAGCTAGGGTTGATGGACTTGCAGCTGAGACTTAAAAGACTGACACTCTCAAAGGAAGTCCATGTGAAGACTGCTGAGTAACTTCGATTTAAAATGGGTCAAGAATATGCTTTTACAAATGGTTTTCCAGGAAAAAAAATAAGTCTTTTAGAAGTTACACACGGGTCTATAATCATTTGTTACTATCAGTTCATAAGATATGCTTTTTTAAACCAGAGATTGACCTAAACTATTAGAAAACAGTGACTAAGAAAATGCAGACTATTTCATAGAATATTCTTTAAAAATGGTCTATTTTTATTCTGGTGGAAGCAGTGGTTAAGAGCGACAGCTGTTAACCAAAAGATCAGCAGTTCAAATCCACCAGCCACTTCTTGGAAACCCTATGGGTCAGTTCTACTCTGCTCTGTAGGGTTGCTATGAGTTGGAATCGACTCAATATCACATAACAACGATTCTAAAAAAATGGTAGATTCGTTTATACATAAGCAGTGTATAATCATAGCCAATACTTATTTAAAATTACCAAAACTAAGTGGTTCTAGAAGATGGCAGCTTAATCACAAGACTGAAATTTAGAAATTGAGCACCAAGTGGTAAGGAGCCCAGCCCCTTTGCTGCCTGTCACTGCTCAAATACTCAGGGACAAAATCCAGGAATTCTGATACTTATTCCTACATTCATGGTGCCTGCAATAAATTTGAATTTACCTAAGGTCAATCTGGTTGGAATAATTACTAAAGGGTTAAGCCTTTCTGCTTTTAGAGCCCTGGAGAAACTTAAATTCCTTATGGCCAAATATGTTGCCAAAAGTTACATCCCTTTTGAGCAAAGTGTATACCTTCTACACAACTAGAAACTGCTTCTCTTTTTTGAGAGCCCAATATGGTGGCCATTTGCTTTACTTAAGGAGATCAGCCTGTTTACCTATTTTTCACCTACCTTCTGAGGTAGGAACCTCAGAAGAAACTCTCATTCTTTTTCCTTCAGTCTTTACTGAGCGACCTACCCATGGACCCTAGCAGGCAGAGTTCTAAAGATATGAATGCCTGTTAATAAGAACGACCTAGACAGATAACAGGAGCCTGGATGGTGCAAATGGTCTGCAATCAGCTACTAACCTAAAGATTGGTGGTTTGAATTCACCAGCATCTCTGTGGAAAAAGCTCTAACAAACTGCTTCCACAAAGATTACAACCAAGAAAACCCTATGGAGCAGTTCTACTCTGTAATACATGGGGTTACCATTAGTCAGAATCAACTCAATGGCAACAAGTTAGGGTTGGTTTAGACATATGACATATGGATAAAGGAGCTTAGGCAAATCATCTAGCTGAAGGAGAACGGAAATGGTGCTCACTGATACAAAGTTAAAGGAGGAAATAAGAGAAAACTGTAAAAATGTCCGTATCAGTCAGGGTCCCAGCAAGAAATAAATAGCTTACTCACTTTGGGATATCTCAAATTGTTTTTAATAAAGAACTCTTTAAGACAGTATGGACAAGGTATCAGAAAGAAAGAAAAAAACTTGAAATACTGGTGGTGGGGAAGCAGTGACTCGGATCACACTGGAGAGCACTGTGTGGGGAGTCTCCTTGAGAGAATCAGTGACTTTTGGAAGAGGAACATTGACCTTTGGCAGAGGGACATCGATCTCTGGCAGAGGGACATCAACCTTTGGCAGAGGGACATCAACCTTTGGCAGAGGGACATTGACTTTTGGCAGAGGGACATCGACCCTTGGCAAAAGGACAATGACCTTTGGCAGAGGGATATCGCCAGCCTGGAAGGAGGGAGGAGTGAGTACAAACACTCTCCAAACCCCTCTCCTCTACTGCCTGGACTCCCCTCTGGCTGAACCAAAGGAAAGCTAGAGGGCAAGTAGTTTGCTGATGATGTCCTTACAGGTCAGCTTTCCAGGTCAGAGAGCTGGATGGAGAGGAACTCTAGAATGGAAAATGGAAGATATCCAGCAGACCGTCTAACAGTTAAAACATTGGTGATTTGAAAGGTAATTGCATTGTTTACACTAGTGAAGTGCGCACATTGGTTCTAATTTGCATTTTTATTAAAAAAAAAATTCAAAGGCATTCCTTTATAGAACCCTTGAAGTCCTCCCTAGCCTTCCTGGAACCTCGGGAGTTAAGCCTTTGTTTCTGAGTTAGAGCACGACCCCTTTTCCACCACCACAGGCCCCCCATCCTGACCCTCCACTCCAGCCCACTTCTATCACTTGACCCTATTCCTCTGCACACTAGGAAAGGTGGCTCAGCGCTCTTGTAACTCAAGCCAGCTTCACTTTTCTCTCTGCCGAGAGCTTTGCTTACCTCCCAATTCTACTGACAACCTTACTCATACAGAGGAAAGCAATTAAGCATGAATTAAGTTCTTTAAAACGAGAAGACAAGAAAATATGTGAAAGTGGGTCCACTTTTTAAATGAAAAAATCAACCGGCAACATACATGCAGGGGCTCAAATTAAATAATCATCATGTTAATCCCATAGGAAGAATGGAATTTAATCTGTCATGGAGAAGAAAGAAACAGATTTCTCATTGTTATGCACTTACCAAGGACAGTTACTTGGGTTATATCAGCAGTGCTATCTAGAGCAGTTTGAGCCAAGCAGACGTAAACACCTTGGTCCTCTAAAGTGACATTAGATATGGTCAGATTAGCTCCATCAATAATTATCCTATTAGAAAAAAAATGAGTATATGATGAGGATGAAAATAACAGAAACAAACACCTAGAAAACAATCTGTTTAAAAATGTATATTCCCACAGAAAGCAATTTGAGCAGAAGTGAAAAGAAAAACTTCACTTAATGCAGTTTTTTAGAAAACGCCAGAGATGCAAAGTAGAGATAAAGTTTCATTCAGGTGTATGCAAATGTTTCCATAGCCATGAAAGGGACCATGATTTTTTAACTAAAATTATAAAATCCAACCATCTGTGATGCCTAGGTCATCGATGGAACTGTGCGTGTTGTCTGATGTGCCTAAAGAACGTATATAGTACCTTACAACAGCTGAGATTTATTTGAATCATTTTCAAGATATGTTTATATCCTACATAAGGAGTCCTGGTTGTGCAGTGGTTAAGCACTTGGCTGCTAAGCAAAAGGTTGGCAGTTCGGACCAACCAGCCTCTCTGGAGGAGAAAGATGCGGCAATCTGCCTCCATAAAGATTTCAGCCTTGAAACCCTATACTGGGGTTTCTACTCTGTACTGTGGTGGCTATGAGTCAAAATCAACTCAATGGCAGTGGCGTGACTAGGGTTGGTGTCACCCAGTGAGGTAACTCATGGTGTCACCCTCCCCATGGACGTCCTCCAGTACCAGACCATTCAGAATACTTAGTAATGTTTTTTGTACTACTGTTACTCATAAATTGTAATTCTCACATATCATTCCTTTTTCTTTATTTCTACTTCATTCTCAAAAAAGTTATTGATATAGGTTCACAAATACTAATATTGTAGCTAAAACATCAGAAAATTTGAGAAAATGAGCGACTATGAGAACTCTGGCAGCAACCAAAACAACAGCGCGTGCAGAGGAAACCACGTGATTCGAAGCGTCATTGTAACTGGGTAATAATTATAGCTGTGACCGGAGTGCATTAGAAGGTTCAAAAAGTAAATTAGTATAGAGTTTTAGCATTGTAGGTATATTGGTACATGTAAACTGGGCTTATGAAAAATGTTTTTGTTGTTACAACTAACTACAGGGATATTTTTATAGACAGTCATTTTGGTGTCACCCCCTCTGACAATGTCACCCAGTGTGGTCCTCACCCTCAGCACCACCCTAGTGAGGCCACTGCTTGACAGCAATGGGTTTGTTTTGGTTTGCTATCCTACATAGGATCAACTGAGATGCTTGCTACGAAGGCAGATTGCTGCGCCCCACTCCAGAACTACAGAATCAGAATATCTGAGATGGAGTCAGCTAATCTCTATTTTTAACAAGCTTCCTTGGTTCCCTAAATAGCATGCACGTTAAGATCTGGTGACAATTAAAGTATGTGATTTATCTGAACAGTAGATGGCAGTCTTGCACTTCTTTCGGCAAAACATTTGCTACTAGCTTTTTAAACAATGGTTCTGTTGCAAATTTATAACCAGATTTACTACGTGAACGTTGGTTTTTCATGAAGAAATACCCTTGACACTACACCTATGTATTGTTAACACAGTTATTCAATTATTTTTTTTGTAAAGTCCGTTAAATTTAAAATATATTCACAGCAGCTTGCTACGTAGTTGAAGTAATTTAAATGTTATCATTGTGAGGAGGGGAAACTGATACAATAGAGCTTTTTAAATGATACTTCTTATCAACTGCTTAGAAGTTTGAATTATAGAAAACCACTTCAAAGTGTAGTAAAGTCAAACACTTTTTTATGTAGACAGAGTCAACCTCTTATTCCTACACCAATTACTGAAAGATTTACCAATTGATATTACCTGGAGTCAAGAGCCTCACTATAATTCTTGACTGATAAAGCTTTGATGCAATTTAATTTCTCAGTTCATGTTAGTTATGTGTCCATTTGACATAATATCAGCATAATGGATGCAATGACAATTTTTGAAAAATTTACCTTCTTTGATGAAGTGCTACAGTCGAATTACCTCGACACCTTCAGACAAGGCCATTTGTGCCATGCACAAAGCCACTATAGCCACGAGGCCCCCATGGGAGCCATCCTCACAATCATTCCTATGTTTGAGGTCACTGTTGCAGCCACTGTGTCAGTCCATCTCATTGAGGGTCTTCCTCTTTTTCACTGACTTCACTAAGCATGATGTCCTTCTCCAGGGACTGGTCCCTCCTGATAACATGTCCAAAGTATGCGAGACAAAGTCTTGCCATCCTTGCTTCCAAGGAGCATTCTGGCTGTACTTCTTCTGAGACAGATTTGTTCTTTCTTCTGGCAGTCCATGGTATATCCAATATTCTTGGTCAACATCATAATTCAAAGCATCAATTCTTCTTCAGTCTTCCTTATTCATTGTCCAGCTATTGCAGGGATATGAGGCGACTGAAAACACCATGGCTTGGGTCAGGCACACCTTAGTACTTAAAGTGACACCTTGTTTTTTTAGCCCTTTAAAGAGGTCTTTTGCAACAGATTGCAATGTGTCATTTGATTTCTCGACTGCTGCTTCCATGGGCGTTAGTTGTGGATCCAAGTAAAACAGAATCCTTGACAACTTCAATCTTTTCTCCATTTATCATGATGTTGCTTATAGGTCTAGTTGTGGGGATTTTTGTTTTCTTTACATTGAGGTGTAATCCATACTGAAGACCATAGAGTTTTCAATATTGCAACTTGAGGCTTTAATTTTTTCTTCAGTTCTTGTCAGCTTGAGAAATGCCGAGTGTGTTCTTCCGTTTTGGTTTTCTAACTTCAGGTCTTCGCACATTTCATCATAATACTTTACTTTGTCTTCTTGAGACGCCCTATGAAATCTTCTGTTCAGCTATTTTACTTCATCATTTCTTCCACTCGCTTTAGCTACTCTGCATTCAAGAGCAAGTTTCAGAGTCTCTTCTGACATCCATTTTAATATTTTCTTTCTTTCCCATCTTTTTAAAGACCTTTTGCTTTATTCATGTATGATGTCCTTGATGTCATCCCACATCTCGTCTGGTCTTCAGTCATTAGTGTTCAGTGCCTCAAACCTATTTTATATATGGTCTCTAAATTCAGATGGGATATACTCAAGGTCGTACTTTGGCTCTGGTGTATTTGTTTTAATTTTCTTCAGCTTCCTAGATTCATACTTCATCCATTCCATGTTCTGATTATTAATGGATGTTTGCAGCTGTGTTTTTTTAGTTTGAGTCGTGGCTCATCAGCAAATGAAGGTCCCAAAAGCTTTACTCCATCCACGTCATTAAGGTTTACTCTACTTTGAGACAGCAGCTCTTCCTCAGTTGTGTTTTGAGTGCCTTCCACCTCAGGGGCTCATCTTCCAGCACTATATCAGACAATGTTCTACTGTTATTCATAAGGTTTTCACTGGCCATTTTTTTAAGAAGCAGATAGCCAAGTCCTTTTTCCTAGTCTGTCTTAATCTGGAAGCTCTGCTGAAATCTGTCCACCATGGTTCACTACATTGTTCACTACAAATTAGTAAGTAACCCCTTGTTTACCTTGCTTATTGGGTCATCTGTCTCTTTCAGGGATGTAAATTCAAAAACTTACATTTTTAAATATAGGCAGGTGCTGTGAGGTTGGGAGAGAGTCAGATGCCAGCCACATCTAATAGCAGAACCTTTGATGTGGTGAAAAAATGTGAAATTGCTCACTCCAGATGACCTGGTAAGCAAGGTAAGCATCATTCTTACCTTGCCTATTGGATAATCCATCCCTGATAATAAGTCTAGTGGATTCTGCTTAAGGAGCCCTGGTGGTGCAATGGTTAAGTGCTCGGCTATCCACCAAAAGTTTGGTGGTCCGCACCAACCCAGTGGCTCCACAGGAGAAAGACCTGGCGATCTGTTCCCATAAGTATTACAGCCTAGAAAACCCTATGTGGCAGACCTACTTTGACACATGTGATCACTACGAGTCAAAATTGATTCACTGGCACTCAACAGAACAGAAGACAACACAACAGGATTCTGCTTGAAGAAGTCCTATTGTTTCTATTCTCAAGGAATTCTGTTTCATGTCCATTCCTACCCTCTCCTCCCAGTCTTTTCCTCTGTCTATACCTACCTAATTACCTCACCTGAGAAACCTATTGTTACCTTAACCTCTCACCTCCTTCATCTACAACATCCAACTTGCTAGTCCCTGACCCTTGTTAAGCATCTTTGTCTTCTTACTCCATTCCGTCTGTGGAATAGCCACATTTTGCTGAAGGCAGTATGCCAAAAGTGATTCTTTGGAGATCTGTGTTTGAGGCTTAATTCCACCAATTATTACCTGCATAATCTTGAAGAAAACATTGACCTTAATACACCACATCTAAAAAATAGAGGTAACAATAGTGTCTTTCTCTTCTAGAAACGTCAATGAGATAAAGCACATAGAGGGATTAGTGTATAGAGCCTGGCGTGGTATGTGCTTGAAAGGGGTTCTGACTCATAGCAACCCTACAGGACAGAGAGGACAGAGTAGAACTGCCCAGTAGGGTTTCCAAGGAGCAGCTGGTGGACCCAAACTGCTGACCTTTTGGTTAGCAGTCATAGGTCTTAACCACTGTGCCACCAGGGCTCCTAGCTAACAATATTAATCAAAAAATTTTATTCATTTCTGGCTTATCATTAATCACACTTCACATGGCAGATATTTCAATGCCCCCCAATTCCTGTCCCTCTTGCTCCTGCGTTTGAGCTAATTACATTAATTTCTGATTTGTTGGGAAGGGACCATTCATTATTATTTCTGCATCATCACTCCCCCATTCATTTGCTACCATTTCTAAGGGGAGGGTAAAAAAAAAAAAAAAAAAACAGCCCTTCCTTGGTGCCAAGGATAGAGCCCTCCAACTTGTGTTCTCAACATCCCTTTTTCCTGTTGCTGGTTGCTGATATGTTGTTAACACCTCTCTTCCTTGCTACTGAGTCCTCACTCTGCCTGCAGCCATGAGCAGTACCTGTTACATTTGTGAAGCACAGTACCAATTTTAAGAATGCTTTCATATCCCTGTCCCATTTCATTTTTCATAACAATAGTGTGTGGGCTATAACCACTTGCAGGTTAGAAATTCATAGAAAATTCCTTGGGGTCATTTCTGCCTACCTAAAGGTCAGCTGTGAGAATTAATAAGGGAAAGTGTGTATGGGAAGCACTAGCATAACATGGGGCACCCAGTGGGCATAATGGTCCAGAAACGTGGTTTCTCACACTTAGCACACATCCACACGTGCAGGGGGACAGGAAGGAAAAGAAGCAGGAGTTTTCTCTTCTTGGTGTTCTCTATGGTTCTACCCTTTGATTAGAAATTCAACCTCTTTTTAAGTAAAAGCTTCTTGTCCCCAGTCTATTGATAAGGAGGAGTTGTCCCAGGAGGAGGTGAGAAACAGGAGCTTACTGATGGTTCTCTAGAAATTTAGCAGATACTTATGATCTCGGTCCCTTGCCATATATTCAATGCCTGCTCTTGGCACCAGTCAAAGCTAGCCAGCAGCAGTCATGCCCAGCATTCCGACTCCTGAGGTCTCTGCTGAGCTAAGGTTACTGCCCTACCACCCACACCTTAGGGAAAATTGGGAGAACATCTGCAACAGTGCTCAGTCCACTCAGATAGCCAGAGGCTCATTTGAGTGTCAGCCCTGCATCCTGCAGAAACTGTAAAACTGGGTCATACAAAGAGGCAGGTTGGAGTTTCTGAGAGCAGGGTCCAAATATGTATATCACATCACTAACAGGACATGAGTCTCTGACTGTCTTCTTGGCTGCAGCCCAGAGGTCACATGATGACCCCAGATAACCAGGCAGTAGTGACAAGAGGGGGAGACCTGGGGGAAGCCCGAGTAGCTGACAGATCAATTGAGACCCAACCTAAGGTGGAAGACATGGTATCTGTGTTGTAACGTGTCACCTTAGGTACATATAACTAATCTCCTCTTGTTTCAGTGACAACTGGTTGCAATATATATGCTGCCTTTCCACAAACTTTTACATATGTATAGAAAGGAGGGGAAGAAATGAGTTAAGTACCAAGGCTTAGTACAGAGGTCTCACACACACACACACACACACACACACACACACATAGACACACACACAGAGACAGGGTCAGAAAGACTGGAGAAAGGAGTGGTAGGAATCATAACAGCTAAAATATACTGAGTACTTGGTATTTTCTAATTCACAACAACCCTGTGACAAAGGTAATTCTTGTTTAAATCAAAAATGATTTTATAAACAGTAAAAGTAAGGCAGAGAGAGATTAAGTAACTTCTCTAAGTTCATAGACCCAAGAAGTGACAGAGTAGGATTCAAACCCAGGTCATCTAAATCCAGAGTCCCTGCCCTTAACCAAGACACTATGCTGCCATCTCTTCTGAGGAGAATGTGTCCTATCTAAAGACCTTCAGGTTTATTTTAGTCATAATGATGAATAACAAAACATAACTGCTGGTGAGATTTTGCTCAAAGATGGTCAGTGTTTAACCCCTGCTTAGTAACAAGGCAAGAGCGAAGGAAGTGGGCACTGGTAAATGCCTTCCAAAGGCATAGTAGGCACTCAGTGAATATCGTTTTCTCTTTCTCTGATGTGCTTAATATTGTCTACTGCTACTCAGCATCTATTCACATTTTCTTGAACATTCTTTTCATATTACAGAGGCTGGAAGGTTCAAACTATACTTTGATTCTTATTTGTCATGAAGAATTTGGATAGGATTTGGATTCTGCCAAAGAGATGGCACTCCTGTGAGATTTGAAAGGTAGAACAGAAATGGACACCATTTTCTCTGGGGCAGAGAGGCAACAAGTGACTCTGGCAGCCATGAGAACTGGCCATGGCTGGACTCACCAGCAGCACCATTGGGGTGGATGTGGTGGCAGTGCCAGAAGCAGCTGCAGTTTCCAGACGTCTGGATTGCAGCTGCAGTGCCTGGTGATCATTAGCCAAAAGCTTAGTAAGCAGCCCCCTCTAAGCCTGGCTTCTTTACCCTTCCCATGGTTTTATAACCAGTCAAACTCATGCAATAAATCCTTTTCTGCCCCGAATGCTTACAGTGGTTTCTATTTTGTGCACTAACAGGATGCTGTTTTTGTTGTTGTGTGCCGCTGGGTTGATTCCGACTTGTAATGACCCTACAGGAGTGAGTACAATTGCCCCATAAGGTTTCCTGGGCTGAAATCTTCACGGGAACAGATCGCCAGGTCTTTTCTCTTATGGAGCAGCTGCTAGGTTTGATCTGCTGACCTTTTGATTAGCAGCCAAGTGCTTAAACATTGCACCCCCAGGGCTGTTTACAACAAGATGATACCCATTATAATAAAAGTCAGTAGCCAAACAAGATAAGCATTTGATAGAAAAGTTAAACAAGGCCACTGGATCACCCTTTGAATGTTGATTTGAAAACAAATTTTGCATTTTAATTGAGTGATAATATTTTTAGAACTTTTTTTTAATGCAGAATATTAATCTCATGCCAATATTATAATATATTTGACACTTTACTCACCTGCCATCTTCCGTGCCATTAATTTCAAAGGCTTCTCCATCTTTGCTCCAGGACAACTTCAAACTGTGTTTCAAATGTGAGTCACATTTGCTCTCACAATGTAATTCAAGCGTATGTGATTTGGGGACACGAGGATTCTTAGGAGAGAGTTGAAGTTTTGTGGCATCTGTTTTTATCAACAAAGATACTAGTTAGAACTGTAGAGCACAGCTTAGTTAGCTGTTAAGTGCCTGCAATTTTAATCAACCAAAACTGTCAACATAATCATCAAATCCTCTTACAGTGTTTGTCCCACTGTAATTTTCTAACATCATACACCATTACCATTTGCTTACCATTCAAGGATGGGCAACTGACAAATTCTGCGTGGAAGGATTAATTACAGGTGGTCCCCAACTCTGTCATAAGCCAGTTCTGACAGAAGTCGAATACCTCCTTTTTTTTAGTTTTCATTACTGTTGCCTTTTATTATCAGTATCTTTATAAATTTGATCTTTATTTGTTTTTACGAGTTGGAAGCACTACATATAAACTTACAGATATGATGACATCAACAAATTACACACTGCAACATTGTATGTAGTACATATTACTAATGATAAGATGTACAAAAAACAGACGGTCGTAAGTGTGGTTCATCGTAACTCGAATATATTGTAAGTTGGGGACTGCCTGTAATAGTTTAGCAATTCCCCCCACTACTTCCTGGACAAAGGGAGAAAGGAATGTGTGAGCTAACAAGTGGCTCTAACAGGTGAAAGTAATATAATTTCCCCTTGTTGTGCTTCTGGACATACGATCAAACCACCACAAAGAAAAAAGGAAAAGTAGTTGATTTTCTGTTAATATGTTTCTTGTTAATTCAGAAACCTGAGGTTAAATGGTGATGTCCCCTGCACAGGTTAATGATCAGTATGAAGGTGGGGAATTAGAAGGTAAGTTCCATGAAGGCAGGGCCTGTGCCTGTACTGCTTCCCTGCAGTATCCCCAGAGCCTAGGTAGGAGCCTGCGTTCGGTAGGCACTGTTAAATGCATGCAGTAGGCACTGTTGAGTGCATGCAGTAGGCATTGTTGAATGTATGCAGTAGGCATTGTTGAATGCATGCAGTAGACCTGTTGAATGAGTGACCGTGAGTGATAGTTTAAAATAAAAATAAACTATTACCAGCGACAATATGAAGCTAAAAGATTGGCACTATGACATCGAGAAAAATGTTTCCTTCATTATGATTGTTTCAAAACATAAAATCCTTCCTCTGTAACATCATTTTAAAAATAGATCTGTTTTACTCCAATGTGGCGCTTGGTGACCCTGTCAGAAGCCGCATGCATTAGCTCACCTCCAGTTTCTCAGTTGTGTTTTAATGTCTGCTATCTCCATGTTATTCTAGTGACTGAATAGAAGTGAAAGTGTTGGTAAAATTGATTATTTGGTATCCCAGACACAAAACTTGTAGAGGGCATTACATTTATCTAATTTTAAGCGAATTATGAAACATCGTAATTCTAAATTTAAAGTCAGGGATCGATTTAATAATAACAGGTATCATTTAACAAGCTCTTACCTATGTGCCAGGACTCTGCTAAGAAGTTTGCATTCATTGTGGCATTTTATAATTATAACAACTCTATGAATAATAATATTCCTATCTTCCGGAGAAGGTAACTTAAGGCTAAAAGGAAATTAAGTGAGGAGCCAGGGTTTCCTAATTCGTAAGAGCCTGAGTCAGGATTTGAACACAAGCCTGGCAGAGAGTAACGCTCATGCTCTAAATCACTACACTATAGACTCTTATTCAACTCCATTCTTGACATTACTATCTTTATATGCAAAAAATTGCATCCTTATAACCCTTCATTGTTATGATTCGTATACAGGCAGACCCTGAGTTACAAAGTCCAACTTATAGGCAACTCATACTTGCCCTTTAGTGTTATGTAAATTTGACCTCACTTTAAAATGATTGAACCAACCCCTACTGACAACAAACTCATCATCACAATCACCTTGCTGCATGTGCAGCTTTTAAATCATTGAAAAGGCTTTGAGCCTTTCCTTGCACTAAAGCCTATTAACCCATTGCTGTCGAGTCAGTTCCGACTCATAGCTACCCCCTAGGACAGAGTAGAACTGCCCCATAGGGTTTCCAAGGAGTGCCTGGTGGATTTGAGCTACCGACCTTTTGGTTTACAACTGTAGCTCTTGACCACTGTGGCCACCAGGGCTTGCACTAAGGTAAGACTAAATAAGAACCTGTGGACCTGTTTCGATTTACCTACAAATTCTTAAAGACACACTCAGGAGCGAATCTCGTTCATAACCCAGGGACTGCCTGTATATTCCTTACATATAAAATGGCTGTAAGAGCAGACTGAAAGTTCATGAACTTCTCCATCTATCTGGCCATCAGCTCACCATTTGAGCAGTTTTAAAGCCCACTTTGGGCCAGTCTTTGAGCTTCACGTTGTTGCTGCTTTGACCTTGGCTGAATTGCTTGACCTGGATTAGGTTAGCTTGTTTTTGTTTTGCTTGTTTTTAGCTTTTTGTAGTATAAAAAGAATCATCTTCACTGACTTTATAAGGACATTTTGAAATCTCTACATGACACTTAAAAATGCAGGGAGACCTAAGGGATAAAGAGACATGCTGAGCAAATGTTTATGTGCTTTGAAAATGTAGTCCATGGGGGTGGCATATTGGATGACTTAGTGGACAAAAAGAGTCAAATACTGTAAAATAATAAAAAACAAGACAGGAAGGAAGGGGAGAAGAAGAAAGGAAGAGAGACAGAGAAGAGAGAGAAATGGGACGCATATGATAATTCATGCAAAGTAAAAATAAAATAAAATTACTTCTAATATCCAAATTGGCTGTGACTGCAGTTTTTCCTTTAGCATTTTCTACCCAACAGGAATATGGCCCAGCATCGTCTTCTGTGGTTTTATTGATCTGTAATGTGCCATTTTCATGGATATAGTACCGTCTGCCTTCAAGGGGTTTCGCTTCATCCACCTTCTGCCTGTAGACATAGAAAGCATAAATCCGTTTGGAGAGTGACGGGATTGTATACTCTTTTTGAAACTGGCTGCTGATGTCATTCAAGCTAACCTCTTCTTCAGGGGCTTAGCAGACCTTATGAAAGATTCCACGGGGGTTTGGATTTTTCTCAAAATGGATCATGGGTGTATATCTTATCTACCTAACCAGACTGTGGCTAGAGGAAGTCTGGGTCCACGCTCTTTGCTTCAGCGGTATTTGTCATAGCAGTCAGCACCATTTTGCATCTGTCCTCTGAGCTTAATAAATACTTGCTGGCTTATCGATGGTGAACTCTTTAGTTAATGACTGCTTCAGGGTACTAAATGGAGAAGCTAGTAATTGAAAGAGATAATGAACCCTCCAAATCTCCTGCTGTTCTGGGAGAACATTGGTCATTCAGAAATATTACAGTCCAGGAAGTCTTACATGTCCTGTGGACATGGATTACATTTACCCTTATCACCTCCACAGTCCTTTTCTGCTACGTTCATCCATTTTCCGAGCATTTGCTGCCACAGCTTGACTTACACTGGAAATCTCACACAAGTGACTGCTGGAGCTTAAAAATGCCAAGGGCAAACTGAGGCTGCTGCTCCCACAGCATTTTCCAGGGCCAGGACTTGGGTGAGGCCAAGTGGGGCACTTACCTCAGATGCAAAATTTGAGGGAGAAGTGCCAAGAAGGTCAGTCATTAAGATAAATAATGGTTAATACAATATTTTTTTTAAATCAAAATTAATGCCAAAAATCCACAATGAACACACTATCAAAATTTTAAATAAAGACAGGCTACAACTCTGCACTGGCATGCCCTGTTTCCCTCTCCTTACCCAAACTAGGTGAACAGTTTATTAGTATAACTCAGTTTAACCAAGCTTCTCCAGTAAAAGAACCAATATGACAGATGCATATGACAATGTGTTCAGACTTATTACAGTAACAATACTTTGGAAATTAAAGTCAAAATAGATGATGGAAATGTTTTAAGCAATAAAAATCAAAATAGATACTGGAAACTTTTAAGCGTATATATTTGTAATTAAATACAAGTTTAGATAATTATTTAGATAGTCCCAAAACAACAACAATGACATTATGTATGACTTTAAATATTCCCAAAATGAAAAAAGAAATCCACATTTTAAATTGTCTTAGTAATCACTTCAATTCTTTGCTTCCCTGTTTTTAAACAGAAATAACTCTTGATACTTCCCCACATGAGAAAAATGTAGAAACTAAGCCAATGTTTCCGGGAAAGATAGGTAATTAAGTTTGCTATCTTACTTCTCAGAGGTTTTGAGTTCATGCAGCCACCGAACACAGCCTGTCAAATGATGGATGAAGAAACAAGGTGGACTCTACACCTGACACTCTCTTAAGAAAACTGTGTGCCAGCTTACCAGGACACTACGGCCTCAGGTGATGCAAAGAACTCGCAATGTAGGAAAGCACTGTACCCAACCATGGCCGCATAATTTTCTTCGTCTTCAGTTTGTATCAATGGGTGGATATCTATTTGCAAAGAATATAAATACAGTTTTAAACTTTCATGTAAGAAATAATACGTGCAAATGTCATTGTTCTACATCTTATCCACATTAATGCTATAAGAAAAGAAAGCAGCTTAATATTACAGAACACATTCTTAAATTAGAAAAGCATCCCAATTTAATTCATTTTTGCAAGTACAGTTTTAGTGCGAAGCCTAATACCCAAATGCATGCTGAACGGTGCTTTGATTTTTCCCCATGTTTTATGTGTCAAGAATTCAGCCAGTGCTTATGAGTATTACCTGGATCATTTTCCTTTAGAATAGCAGGTTAACAGTCTGCTCTCGGGTATGCTTACCTATAATATCAATATTGGCATTGGCAAGGATGGTCCCATGGACATTTGAGGCTTCACACTGGACCACAGAAGTCTGATTTGGTTGTAGGTTGGTAAAACTGATTTCCCTTGAGGAGATGAAGTTGCCAGCAAATAGATGATCTGAAAGAGATTAAAGAATGTCAGTTTGATAAAGAATAGGACATAAAATATTTATATGCCATTTATTAAACGTGTCACACAGTATTTATATTTTAAGACCAGTTTAGGGTGAATAATAGTGCATGAAAGCTGATTCTTTAGAATTCTGTAGGATCAACCATGGGTGTTTTTTTCTTCCAAACCCTTTAGGTTTGCGGTTTCAATTTCTTTCATCAAATTAATGTTGCTAAAATATCTGTTGGCCTCCAGCTCACTGTCTCCCACACCCATGCCCCCAAATAAGATTCCAGATTATCTGTTTAGCATTCAGGTCTCATTAAGAACTGAATCTCACTTCCAAAAAAAAAAAACCCCACTGCTGTGGAATCGATTTCAACTCACAGTGACCCTATAGGCTATAGGACAGAGTAGAACTGCCCCATAGGGTTTCCAAGGAGTCCCTGGTGGATTTGAACTGCCGACCTTTTGGTTAGCAGCTGAGCTCTTAACCACTGTGCCACTAGGGCTCCGAACTTCACTTACTCTTCTGAATTTCCATCCTGATACTGCCCATCACCAATAATGTGATCAACACTGCCTGACCCGTCCCAATGCAACAATATTGTCTGCTGTTCTCACGTTGACATCTTTGTTGCTCTGTTTCACTTCTCTGTCCTTCCATAATTTTTCTAGTCTTATACCTTTCATTTCAATTTTCTTGGTACATATATCACGTATTTCATTTTTCCAGGAAAACTAAGTCCTTCTTGAGAGCAGAGGTCAAGTTTTCTACTTTTTGGCTGTAAAACCTCCCCCTCTTTGGATCCATGTATACTTCTGGAAATACCTTTTGGAAGTGAGGAGCTCTAACATTTCTGGTTCATTTACTAAAGGGAAAAGAATTCTTTGGCACATGTGCTATCTCACTGACTGTTCAGAACCTGCTAGATCAGCATAAATATATTCATTGTAGCCCTGGTGGCACAGTGGTTAAGAGCTCAGCTGCTAACCAAAAGGTTGGCAGTTCGAATCCACCAGCCACTCCTTGGAAACCCAATGGAGCAGTTCTTCTCTGTCCAATAGGGTTTCTATGAGTTGGAATTGACTTGACAGCAATGGTTTTTTTTTTTTTTTTTTTTTTGGTTTAGAAGTAAGAAAGTTGGATGCCAGGGACTGCACATTCCATACGTTTCTATAACACTAAAAACAAGTGGTAGAAAGAAAAGCACATTACTTAGGAATATCAAGCGAGGGCAAATTCATTAAAATTTGTAGATTTAATAACATGACAAGATTACCAGTAAATCTAATTTATTTGTGCTTCCTGTGTCTCCATTACACAAAATAGAAACTATATGAAGTTTTAGAAGACATTAATTATTAGATATTTAATTAGAAGATTTTTTATTACATTTTTTTGCCCCTAGAGTCAAAAAAATACTTTTACACTTGACCATAAGCTTCAGGAGGGCAGGGCCTTTTCTGTGTGGTTGTACATGTGTCTCCAGCACCTAAAAAAAGGCTATTATGGAGGAGACATTCATAAATATTTGTTGGGATTACTGAAAAACAGCTACGGGGCAGGATTTTACTGCCAGTATATGTCTGTGCCATGGGAAGAAGATGTGGCAATCTGCTTCCATGAGATTTACAGCCTTGGAAACCCTATGGGGCAGTTCTACTCTGTCCTGCAGGATTGCCGTGAGTTGGAATCAACTCGACAGCAGTGGGTTTGGTTTTCGGTTTGATTATGTCTCTGTGGTAAGCAGAATAATGATGGACTGCCCAAAGAAGGTCCACGCCCTAATCCTCAAAACCTGTGACTATGTTAATTTACATGGTAAAAGGGACTTTGTAAGTATGGTTAAAATGAAAGGCATTGAGATGGGGAGATTATCCAGATAAATCCAATTTAATCCCATGGGTCCTTAAATTCAGAGAACCTTTCTTTCCCTGCTATAGTCAGAGGAAGATGTGAGTATGGATGAATGTCAGAAAGATGCATTGTTGCTGGCTTTGAAGATAGAGGAGGGGAGCCATGAGCCAAGGAATGTGGACAGCCTCTAGAAGCTGGAAAAGGTAAGGAAGTAGATTCTCTCTTAGACCTTCCAGAAATCCCTGGTACTCCCTGCTGCCGTGGATTGAATTGTGTCACCCAAATATGTGTGTCAACTTGGCTAGGCCATGATTCCCAGCATTGTGTGATTGTCCACCATTTTGTCATCTGATGTGATTTTCCTGTGTGTTGTAAATCCTGCCTCTATGTTGATGCTGTTGAGGTGGGATTAACAGAAGTTATGTTAATGAGGGAGGACTCAATCTGTAAGATTAGTTTGTGTCTTAAGTGAATCTCTTTTAAGATATAAAAGCGAGAAGCAAGTAGACAGGTAGGGGGACCTTATACCACCAAGAAACAAGAGCCAGGAGACTAGCACATCGTTTGGACCCGGGTCCCTGCACTGAGAAGCTCCTCAACCAGGGGAAGATTGATGACAAGGACCTTCCTCCAGAGCTGACAGAGAGAAAGCCTTCCCCTGGAGCTAATGCCCTGAATTTGGACTTCTAGCTTACTATACTGTGAGAGAATAAATTTCAGTTTGTTAAAGCCATCCACTTGTGTTATTTCTGTTGTAGCAGCACTAGATGACTAAGACACCAGCCAACACCTTGATTTAGCCCAAGGTGCCCTGTGTCAGATATATAACCTATGTTGTTGTTGTTAGGTGCCATGGAGTCTGTTCCGACTCATAGCAACCCTAGGTACAAGAGAACGAAACACTGCCCGGCCCTGCGTCATTCTCACAATCATTGTTATACTTGAGGAATAGTTCTAACCTACAGAACTACAATAATAAATTTGTGTTGTGTTGAGTCACTCTATTTGTGATAATTTGTTACAGTAACAATAGAAAACTATCACAATCCTTAGGACCATTTATTACCCATCTCTTGAGAATTCGCAAGGCTGAACTCTTAGAGACTGATGCAAAGGACTGGGAGTCTGATCTGATTCTTCACTCTTACCTGGCAGGCCCAGAGTTCCATGCCCTTTAGTGTTAACTCCATTATCCCCTTTACTTCTCCTTATACTGTCTGCCCCATGACAAGCTCTATATCAACACAATCCAAACACAACACCAAATCCATTGCCATCAATTCAGTTATGAGTCATAGTGACCCTGCAGGACAGAGTAGAACTGCCCCATAGGGTTTCCAAGGCTATAATCTTTACAGAAGCAGACTGTCACATCCTTCTCCCTCAGAGTGGCTGGTGGGTTCGAACTGCCGACATTTCAGTTAACAGACAGGCACTTAACCACTGCACCAGCAGGGCTCCTTCAGAGTATCACCAAAAGAAGAAATGAGACTATGGCCTCAAGTTTGAAATAAAAAGGAAATAAACGTTGCTCAAAGCTGCCTCTGGGCTAGGTGTGGAAATTGCCGAGTAATGCTGCCAACTGGCAAGGAGCAAGAGGGGCTCCCCAGGATTCAAGAAAGCCAGGTTCTTCATCAATGTCAAGCACAAACCACGCTAGTCCTGACATAATTCAGAAATTCTTTGTCAGTTTTGTCTTTGGTTAGCTCAATGGAAATTGATGTGCAAAATAGTGGGAAAATTTTCAGCTCTGGACTTAATAATTACTGGATCACTTCCAAGTCAAAATTTACTTGGTTTGGGTCCTCAAATAAGTCACCTAGTATCTCTAAGTCTCAGTTGCCACATCTGGAAACTAGAGAATGATAAAATCTATTTGGCAGTGCTGCTATGAGTTTCAGAAATATTGCGAGCGATGCATGCAAAGTATGTTAGACCTGCAAAAAATTATAGTAATCTGATTTAATTTTGAAATGTTACTGTATAAAGGGTATGCAATTTCTAGAACTATAAACTCAATTAGATTTCAAATCCTCTAGTCAACCCACTGTCATCCAACATCCCAACCTGTGAATGATTATGACCTGTTTGCAGGGAAGCCAGGTATATTAGTTTTCTAAGGCTAACACAACAAAATATCACAAAGTAGGTGGCTTATAAGAACAGAAATGTATTGTCTCACAGTTCTGGAGGCTAGGAGTCTGAATTAAGAGCATCAGCAGGACGATGCTCTCTGTCAGCTCTAGGGGAAGATTCTTCATAGTCTCTTTCAGCTTCTGGTTGTTGTTGTCAGGTGCCATCAAGTCAGTTCCGACTCATAGTGACCCTGTGTACAACAGAATGAAACACAGCCCGGTCTTGTGCCATTCTCACGATCATTGTTATGCTTAAGCCCATTGTTGCAGCCACTGTGTCAATCCATCTCCTTGAGGGTCTTCCTCTGTTTCAATGACAGTCTACTTTACCAAGCATGATGTCTTTCTCCAGGGACAGATCCTTCTTGATAACACGTCCAAAGTATGTGAGATGAAGTCTTGTCATCTTTGCTTCTAAGAAGCATTCTGGCTGTACTTCTTTCAAGACAGATTTGTTCATTTTTTTGGCAGTCCATGGTATATTCAATGTTCTTCACCAGCACCATAATTCAAAGGTATCAATTCTTCCATCTTCCTTATTCATTGTCCAGCTTTGACATGCATATACGAGGCAACTGAAAGCACCATGGCTTGGGTCATGCCACCTTAGTCTTCAAGGTGGCATCTTTGCTTTTTAACTCTTTAAAGAGGTCTTTTGCAGCAAATTTTCCCAACGCAATGCATCGTTTGATTTCTTGACTGCTGCTTCCATGGGTGTTGATTGTGGATCCAAGTAAAATTAAATCCTTGAGAACTTCAATCTTTTCTCCATTTATCATGATGTTGCTTATTGTTCCAGTTGTGAGGATTTTTGTTTTCTTTATGTTGAGGTGTAATCCATACTGAGGGCTGTAGTCTTTGATCTTCATCAGTAAGTGCTTCAAGTCCTCTTTACTTTCAGCAAGCATAGTTGTGTCATCTGCATAATGCAGGTTGCTAATGAGTTTTCCTTCAATCCTGATGCCCAGTTCTTCTTCATATAGTCCAGCTTCTCAGATTGTTTGCTCAGCATATAGATTGAACAAATTTGGTGAAAAGATACAACCCTGAGGCACACCTTTCCTGACTTTAAACCACACAATATCCCCTTGTTCTGTTCGAACGACTGCCTCTTGATCTATGTTCACGTCCCTCATGAGCACAATTAAGTGTTCTGGACTTCCCATTCCCATTACCAGCTTCTGGTAGCCCCAGGCATTCCTTGGCATTCTTTAGCTTGGCTTTACATGGCTGTCATCCCTGTGTGTGTGTATCTGTGTCTATTTCCCTCTTTTATAAGGGCAGTACTCCGATGGGAATAGGACCCACCCTATGCAGTATGACTGGCATTAACTTACCTGATAACACCTTCAAAGACCTTACTCCCAAACAAGGTCATGTTCATAAGTACCCAAGTTTAGGACTTCAACATATCTTTGGAGTAGGAGGGGAGACACAGTTCAATCCATAACACAAAGACAGCTGCAGTTAAGAGCTATGAAAAGAACACTGACCAAAGAGGTGGATTTGGCTTCTAGGTCTGCCAATATTTAGTTGGGCTATCTTCCATAGGAGCCCTGATGGCGTAGTGGTTAAGAACTTGGCTGTTAACCAAAAGGTCGGCAGTTTGAATCCACCAGTCGCTTCTTGGAAAACCTCTGGGGCAGTTTTAGTCTGTCCTATAGGATTGCTATGAGTCAGAATTGACTCAGCAGGAACAAGTTTTTGTTTTTTTTTTTTAAGAAAAAAAAATCTTCCATAAGTCTATTTTCATCCTTGACCTCCTCATCCACTGTTGGACCCTGTTGGGTCCACTGTTGGAGTAAATCCAGAATAACCCCTACCATTACCAACCTAGCACTCAGCCCCAGTGTCTTTCAGGCAGCCTCCTAACTGGTCTTCCTGCTTTCATCCTGGCCCTACACATAGTCAACTCTCTATACAGAGGCCAGAAGAATCCTCTGTTAAAATGTAAGATACATCATGTCATTCTTCTGCTCAAAACCCTTCAAGGGCTCCCAATCTTATTCACAAATAAAATTCAAAGACCCTGCTTGGACTCTCACAGTTGCATATGGTCTGTCCCTTTCACCTCCTAACAGACCTCGTCCCTTAGCACTCTCCCCTCCTCACTCACTCTACTTCAGCTGCACCTACCTCCTTGCTTTTGCTCAAACACACCAAATGCACCCGGGGTCTTTGTGCTCACTCTAAACCCTCCACCTTCACTGTTCTTTCACGAATATTTGCATGACTGACCCCTCTCCCACCTCCTTCAGGTTTATACTCAAAGGTGAATTACCAGAGAGCCTCACTATTATTATCTTAAAATAAAATAGTAAGCCTTGGTTCTGAACCTCAGTTACATTATACCCCCTATGTCACGGACTGCCAGAAGAATGAACAAGTCTGTCTTGGAAGAAGTACAGTCAGAGTGCTCCTTGGAAGCGAGAATGGTGAGACTTCATCTCATGTACTTTGGACATGAGGGACCAGTCCCTGGAGAAGGACATCATGCTTAGTAAGGTAGAGGGTCAGCAAAAAAGAGGAAGACCCTCTGTGAGATGGACTGACACAGTGGCTGCAACAATGGGCTCAAGCTTAACAACAATCGTGAGGATGGTGCAGGATGGGGCATCGTTTCATTCTGTTGTACACAGGGTCATTATGAGTTGGAACTGACTCGACAGCACCTAACAACACAACAATAAGAATAAGGAACCTTGGTGGCACCGATGGTTAAGCGGTCGGCTGCTAACCAAAAGACTGGAGGGTTGAAGCCACGCAGTGGCTCCATGAACAAAGACCTGGAATCTGCTTCTGTAAAGATTGCAGCCAAGAAAACCCTATGGGGCAGTTCACCTCTGTCACATGGGTCACTGTGAGTCAAAAATGACTGGACGGCACCTAACAACAACAATCCAGCTATCCAGCTATGTTCTACTTTACCACACCGCAGTATACATTTATGGGCTTACTTGTCTACTGACTGTCTCTGCCCACTAGAATATCAGCCCCAGGAGAGCAGGGATTTTATCTGTTTCATTTACTGCTGTATCCCAAGAATTAGCCCAATGTCTATTTATTGATGAGTGAACCTGTTAAATGAGAATAGTAATAGTTCCTTTAGAAGTTTTGAGGGGTTTTTTTGTGTGTGATTCAAAGCCATTTGTGAATGCCCTTCATATAGTGTCAAACACCATTCAAATATAAAATGTTATGATTTTATGTTTTCAGAGAATCAGCATTCCTTATTATAGCATCCTTAGTATTTTTTATAAACAACAAAAAGTTTTTATTTCCCTCTGATCTCCCTAAGGAGCCCTGGTGGCATAATGGTTAAGAGCTATGGCTGCTAACCAGATGGTTAGCAGTTTGAATCCACCAGCCACTCCTTGGAAACCCTATGGGGCAGTTCTACTCTGTCCTGTAGGGTTGCTATGAGTCGGAATGGACTTGACGGCAATGGGTGATCTCCCTAAAGCCTCATTTTTCAAATCTTATTCTGTTCTCTAAAGAGATGAGGATAAAGTTCCATAGTTGAAGGTATTAATGATGAGAGCTAAGGTTTCCCGAGTACTTGCTATGTGAAAACAATAACAAACAACATTTTGCGAGTGCTGTGTGGCAGTCCCTGTGCTGAGCATTCTCTGTGTACTGTTTCCTGAAATTCACATAAAACTCTCATCAGTAGGTGTTATTTTCATCCCCATTTCCCTGATGAGAAAACAAGTGGTAAGGGGTTCAGTAATACGCCCAGCCACACAGCTAGTAAGTGGTAGAGCCAGGATGCAATGTTATGCAGTCTGGCTGCAGAGTTCACAAACTTACCCATGATGCTTTAATAAACAAGGTGCTCTCCTAGGTGGTTTGCTATGTTTATCTCATTCAATCACAACCATTATCCTTGTTTTACAGTTGAAAAACTATGGCTTGAGGAGATTCATTAAAAAGCTCGACACCGTGCAGCTAGGAAGGTGCACAGTCCAGATGAGGCCCCAGGTCTGTGGGCCACCAGGACCCAGGGCAAGATAACAAATGGAAGCTACATACATGTGTCTCAATACCGTAAACACTCTAAATGGAGCTAAGCAATTGACAAATATTATGTGGCTTATCCTCCTACCTTAACAAATGCATTAAAAATGACCTGAGCTCTAGCTTCAAATTTAGTGGTGCAAACGGTTAAGTGCTCGACTATTAGCTGAAAGGTTGGTGGTTCGAACCCAGCCAAAGGCACTTTGGGAGACAGGCCTGGTGATCTGCTTCCAAAAGGTCACAGCTTTGAAAACTCTTTGGAGCACAATTCCACTATGCACACATGGGGTTACCATGACTTGGAATCGAGTTGATGGCAATTAACAACCACCACCTTAAAAAATACATTAAAAATGATCTGAGCTTTCAGTTCACATTTAGAATTTCTGGACTCTTGGGAGTTCTATGCTGGAAAATGGTGGAGAAGGGAGAGTAGCCCTCAGCCCTGGCCCATCTCTGCCTTTCCATCCACAGCCCATCTGGAGTGAGCTCAGAGACAGATGCACTGGTCTTGGATGGTCTAGAATGGGCAGGGAAGGGGAGGGCAGAGGTCCAGGTTTGGCATGTCTCTTGGCCCTATAGATTTCTCACATCATGGAATCAGGAATGCCCAAGGGTAGTTAGAGCAGGTCCCTGTAAGGCAGAGTTCAGGAAAGGGTCGCTGTTGTCTGGGTCTAGGCGAGGTACTGACCTCCAATTAGACTCTCAACCACTAGGCTATTTTACCTATTTCTTCTCAGGGAGAAGAAAAGCAGTTGGCTTCCCTCTTGATACGTCCTCTTTCGCTCAGTTGGTTTATTTATTTTTACCTCGTTTTCATATATAATTTTTATTATGGCCTAAGCCAGTAGACATTTTTTAATGGCTCTTCCATGAGTATCAAGTCTCAACAATGACATTACTTAAAAAGAGGCAATTTCTGATTCTCTGGTTAGATCAGTCTTGCCGAGTCCTGCCACGTCCCACCTACATTTTACACATAACTGGTGTCTGACCATTAACCATCCCATCAAACAACTGTCTAGAGCATCACATTATAATTAGCTTTGCCACTTACAGTCAGTGGCGCCATTCACTCTCCACTTGAGTGTGGGTTGAGGTTCTCCTTCGGCGTCACATATCAAGATATAGCTGCTCCCAGTGCTATACACGACACTCTGAGGTTTCTTTGTCCAGCGAGGAGGCTCTGGGAAGAAAATGAATAGTTCATCCGTTATTTCAACTATTTTTAAAGGTCCAAAAGTATTAAAGCCTGTATTTCTACTATACACCAGCAGATGGCAGTCACCATCAAGTGTTTCATAGCAGCTTTTTGATCAGCTTGCTCTACAAAACAAGGTGGCCCTTGTTTTTGTGTTGTATGGGGTGTGTGTGTACGTGCGCGCGCGTGTGTGTGCGCGCGTGCGTGCGTGGTGGGTCTTAGTATGTATAATAAAATCAACATACTAAAAATAGTTACCTGCAACCACTTTACTTAGCTACACAAATAGCCATCTCACTGACAGAAAATGAGGGAGGAGTAAGCAGATGGTAAGTTTATTTAGTGCTGGTTATATCTTATTTTCAGGCTGCGCTTGGCATCTAAAATGACCGATATTTAGTAAATACATTTTGAGAGGATCCCTGGTGGTGCAGTGCTTAGGAGCTCGGCTGCTAACCAAAAGGTCAGTAGTTCGAATCCACCAGCCACTCCTTGGAAACCCTATGGGGCGGTTCTACTCTATCCTATGGGGTTGCTATGAGTCAGAATCGACTCAACGGCAACACGTTTGTTGTTTTGTTTGTTTATATTTTGAGAATTATTTTATTGTTAATAAAAGTAATTAAAAATTTCAGCACTGATTTTAAATATTTCTTAATAATGACTTGTTAGCATTTACATATCTATATCTGCCTATCTATCTAATGCATTTGGAAAACATTATTTCCTAGAGATTTTATTTTTGGAAAGGGGAAGCGGGAAAGCGTAAAAATAACAGCTTTTCACCCTCAAAACAATAGAGGAAAAGCTACATTTAAATTACCTGACTCTTTCCATGCCCTTATGCTCCAATATTATAATTCTCAGTGGTGTTTCAGAACAAAATGAGACACTTTTCTTTCAGTGCAAACATTACTGTCATGTTTTGTCACCTTAAGTATATTACTATGTCAGGAGTGAATAAAAGACTTAAGATTAAAGTGTAGATGGTTTGGATGATTTGATTTCAGAGAAAATTGGATAATACCTGCAGGTAGTAATTCCCATCAAGTGTTGCTTGGTTATTTCCCCCAAGACATTTTTGTATTTCCGTTTTTAGTCAAAAAGGAAGGTCTTTAAAAAATATAGCTATGTGTAAAATGAAAAATTCCATGTACATTTTTAAAGTAAAGGCGGAAAAAAGAGATTAGGTGAAAAGAAAATGCCTATTAATTTACCAGAAGACATGATAGTATACAAATAACTGGCAAGTTCAAGTCCAAGCAAGATAAGTACCTTTGTAATTATTCCACAGGGTTTGGACTTAATTGTGAAATCCCAAGTTAAATACCTGCATTTATAATCTGTAGACTCTGTAAATATTTGTCCATTTAGTTTAAAATGCAATAGTCCAAAGAATAAACTGCATATCATTTTCTGAGGTGAAGGATTTTTTTTTTGTATGTGTGTATTTTTTTGATGTTATTGTCATTAACTGTATTTCAGTTTTTTCATACAACCACAGAAAAATTAAACATTTGTAAGTTTTAGATAAAAATTCCATTAATGTGGAAATGATCAATTTATAGCAGAAAACTAAGACTACTGTGTAGGGAACTTACGTGGGGTTTCGTCGGTTCTGACATAAGTCAAATACCACATTTTTGTTTTTTCTTTTTCAGTTTTCATTATTATTGCTTTTTATTATCAGTATCTTTATAAATCTGACAGTGTTTTGAACAGTAAATCATAAAACTGAACATCTGCGAGTAAACATCTGAAGATGGTAACAGCAGCAAATTACACACTGCAACATGATTACGAATAGTACATACCAAAAAAAAAGGACAGTTGTTAAGTGCGGTGCGCTGTAACTAGACTACGTCGTAAGTCAGGGACTACTTGAACTTACTACTGCTACATGCTTTCAGAGCATGTAAAAACAAAGATCTTGCAATGATATTTTTCTGCATCTTCATGCATAAGAAAATCAAGATTTCTATTTCTAGTCTCATCCTGCAAGCTTCATCAAGCCCTTTGTGTCTGCGGTAAGATCTATTATTGTTGAACTAAAAGAGGACTTAGTTATCATTGCAGCCAACTTTTTCACTTTACAAATGAGAGTACAGAGCTTTGAAGAAGTCATCTACCTTGCCCAAAGTCATCAGTAAAAGAAGCCCCAATGTCTGTTCTTACCATTCCAGGGATCTGTGGACAGAACCTATATGGTGAGTGATATGTGACTCTAAAGTGAATGTGGCTTTATTTATTTCTCAATCATTGCTATTTTATTGATTTGGGCCAAAGATAGACACCAAGGCTTGCCAAATTCTCCAGCTTTCACTTTATGCTCCCAAAACTAAGGTCCCCCAACGTTCATCAACTGACTCAAGAAGTTTTGAGAATTCACTAGGAATCATCACTAAATTTTACCTTAACCCTTCTTCATAAGCTTTCTGTACAAATGCTTGAACATTTAGTATTATTCTACTCATCCCTGCTTCTCCGTATGTGTAAGCTGGGCTAGACTGAATGTAAACTTTGCCATGCAATTTGAGAGGGATTTCAAGCCTGTCTTGCTCAGAAACGTCATCTTCTTGGGTCTGCCAACACACTGTCCTCACTTCTAGCCCAGACTGAGAATCTCACTGTTTGAGTCAGTGGTGAGAGCCACTGGAAAAGTGACCTCTGAGAGCCAGGGCAGAATCTTACTCTTTCTCGTGTCTCCTCCACTGACACACTGTCTGGTATAGAACTGACGCATGTTAAATGATTTTGAATTGAATTGCAATGAGCAATCCCCAAAGACTGCAGTGAAAAAGGCATAGGGAACAAAGAAGGGAAATTACTGGAAGGAAATCATTGCCTTCTAGTCATTCCCTCTGATAATTGCCCACATTTACTGACAGATTAGCTAGTTGCTAATGTGTTACTATATGGACGGTGGTGGTTCAGTGGTAGAATTCTCCCTTTCCATACAGGACACCCGGGTTCCATTCCTGGCCAACGCACCTCATGAGCAGCCACCACCCGTCTGTCAGTGGAGGGTTATGTGTTGCTATGATGCTGAACAGGTATCAGCAGAGTTTCCAGAATAAGATGAACTAAGAAGAAAGGCCTGGTGATCTACTTCCAAAAATCAGCCAGTGAAAATCTTATGGATCACAATAGTCCGATCTGCAACCAATCATGGGGCTGATGCAGGACTGGGCAGCGTTTTCTTCTGTTGTACGTGGGGTTGTCATGAGTTGGGGGCTGATGCAAGGGTGGCTGACAACAACAACAACTTCATTCACTAAAAAAGGCAGAGTGGAGCCTGAGGACACAAGCTAAGGGACACGGAAAGTTTTGGTGGATGAGTGTAGGCTATAGGCAAGCAGGGGCAGAGAAGAAATAAATGTGCTCCAGAGCTTAGACCATGCAACTCTATTCCTGAAAGATGTAAGATCTAGTTGAGAGGATGCAAAAAAAAAAAAAAGGCTCAAGAGAGAGGAAAGAATGGTTAAAACTAAAAATTATGAATGTAAACATCATCATCAAATTCCATTCTTTTATCTATTATTTTAAGATATATGGTAACCAATGAAAATTACTTATGTTGAAATTTTACCTATTTTTTCATAAATGTAAGTTTAAAAATAAGGTAATCAGTTTCCATTATGCTGCTGAAAACGGAGACCCAAATGTCTGAACGTTAAGAATATAATAATCAAGCTAATTAGAGATGTTTATCACTAGAAGAAACACAAAATAAAACATACAACACAGTGGTTATTTTCTTAGTAAAATTATTTTACCACAGATTCAATTAAATACACTCTAATAAATCAAAAATCGTTAGGTTCATCATACTTGGGTTTATTCGCAATTTTTTAGGAAGAGATTTGTTATTTGAAAATGAGGCTTTTTAAAGTATATCAGTGATTGTATTGCATTTTAGTTCATGACCCAAAGCCAAATCCACTGCCATGGAGTTGCTTCTGACTTATAGCGACCCTACAGGACTGAGTAGAACGGCCCCATAGGGTTTCCAAGGAGCGGATGGTGGATTCAAACTGCCGAACTTTTGATTAGCAGCTGAGCTCTTAACCACTGCGCCACCAGGGCTCCTTAGTTCATGACATCCCTTTAAAATGAAAAACAACTATAAATTATATTATGGATAGATAACTATATATTGGAGCCCTGGTGGCGCAGTGGTTGAGAGCTACAGTGAGCTAGAGCGAGCTACAGCTGCTAACTAAAAGGTTTGCAGTTCGAATCCACCAGCCGCTTCTTGGAAACCCTATGGGGCAGTTCCACTCTGTGCTATAGGGCTGCTATAAGTTGGAATCGACTTGATGGTAATGAGTTTATAAACACGTTCCTATTACCCTGACTAAAATTCAAAAGCCTTTAAATGATTCAAATGTTTACAACTTAAAAATTGTTGGTGGGAGTTTATTTTTAGTCAGTTGCAATGTGATTGAGATTGATCATATTTTTATTTCTGACTTTAGAATATTTTAGATGCCATCCTAATACATCCCTTTTCACTGAATGTGTAATTATTTATACCAAGGATGCCTAGGAAAGCAACACTATAGGACAGAGTAGAACTGCCCTCTAGGGTTTCCAAGGAGCAGCTGGTGGATTCTAACTGCTGACCTTTTGGTTAGCAGCCAAGCTCTTAACCACTGCGCCACCAGGGCTCCATAGTCATTGCAAACACAGTTTGTTAACATATTTAGACTGTTGTAGCTTAAACTCAAGCTCACAAAATTTGATTGTGTTTAGTAATAAAGAAGAAATATCACATATGATGAGAATACAATACTGTCCATCAGTCCATGATTTGATTTAAGCAAACGAGTGTTTTCAGAATTGCCTGGATTTTCAAAATACATAATAGCGCTGCTCTTATCCCATATGGCTAATCCTTGTTATTTAATTTGAGTTTCTAAACAAGAGACAAAAGAAAGAAGAGGGTGCAGAAAGGCAGAAGAAAATTGAATAAATGTGAATTCATCCATCTACATGATTAATGAAGGTTATATTTACTGCTTTCATCCTTAAAGAAAATAAAAAAGACTTCTTGAGCTTAGTTTGATTCTCACTTGCCTGCATGAAGGGAAACTCCTAAAACATACAACTGAGGGTACATTTAGTAGTTTTTCACTAAGAGGGAAGGATTAAGTGTTTCTCATAAGAACATTATTTACATCTCAGTGGTGCTAATAGCTGTTTTATGAATAGTGAGGGCATTTGTTCAGGACACCTATACTCCTTTGGAACCCTAGAGTCAACATTTTAAATTGCATAATTAATTTTACATCCTTGATTTTTTTTCTTTTTCTTTTTTGCAACCCTTGCAATTCTTTTGAAAGCTTTGGTCTTAGAGTCAAGAAAACTGTGGCCAGATTGTTAAAATATTCAGCTACCGTAGCAATGTTCCAGCCATCTGGAAGGATTTCTAATAGTCAGCAACTTGGAGTCAAAGCAGAAAACAATTTGACATGTCTGAGTATGTGTGTGAGAGCAGGAACTAGGGGAGGGGGACTTAATAGAAAAACACTCAAATTACACAGAAGCATCAAATGATGACTAAAAATATAGATAAAATCTCTCAAACTCTTCCTCTGACTTTCTTTGTGAATAATTTAATTCCGGTGGAATATATTACAGTTGGCAGATGTTGATGTTAATGCATAATATTGAGCTTTATCTTATACACGGTTTGCTTTGGTTGAATCAAGGAAAATGATATTCTCATTTTGGTTTTCTATTCTTCATACCTTATCCAATGATACACTTGGTGGGGAAGTCGCCGGAAACACAGTGTTACTTCAGACAGTGGCATGACTAAAACACTTATTCTAACATTTACTTGTGAATGGAATTTGTGTTTGTCTCCCCCCACCCCTTTTCTATTAACTAAAACAATCACCATTAGGTTTTCCTTGTGCAAATTAAAGCATTAAGAGGTGAGCTTTACTGGAAAATAGATGGGAGCCCTAGGGCACTGGTCTACTAAATGGTACCCTTAAAGAGACAGTTCCTTTCAATAGTTAAGCCTACACAGCACTGAAGTACAAATGTGGTAACCATTCCCTTAATTTGATCCATACAGTCAACCAAACCATATGATGAAACTTACAGAAAACATGATTAGACTGGTGGAAAATAGTCTGCATCAATCAAATTCACAGGATGATTAGGTAACCTTACTTCTGCCCAGCAGGCATAGCCCCAAAAATCTACATTTCACGCCCCTCCTTTTTTGAAAAATGATGTCATCATTGGCTTTTTATTTCTGTAAATACAACAAATGATAACAAAATATCTAGTGATCAAAAAACTTGGATTTGTGGAGAGAAGATGACTTAAATGTAATGTTTTTTTGACCTTGTAATAGAGAATCAATATTTATAGCATACAATCTATTCTTCTTTCCCCACAAATAACACATTGACTATCATCTGAACCCAAGATATGGACCCCTCCCCCCAAAAAAAAGAATTGTATCTAGGAAAGAGCTAAAGCAATCATTTGTCTGACTCCCTCATTCCACTGGTGAAAAAACTGAAGTACAGAAAGGTGAAGTAACTCGATCAAAAACACAGCAAATTAATGACAGGACTAAGAAACAAATTTCAGGCTTTCTTCCAGGCCCAAGGATCTTTTCACCGTAACACTTATTTCCTCTTGTATAACTTAATATCATGCAGTGTCTCATGTATCTTATGATAAAAAATCAGTTCTCACAATATGATGATATAGGACGTAAGGTTTAATTGCTAACATGAGATCTTTCCTTGTCATTTGTCCTTTCTATATGGCTTTGTGGGGTAAAGAATAAAACTAATTAATTGAAATGTTACTTACTATATATACAATTAAAAGTTGAAACAGCTTACCCATCTGTATTAACATATATACCTTAGAAGACCCACAATGTGTATAAATTCTTTTTTTTTTTTTTAATAGAAGAAAAACAAATCAACATGGAGAAAGTACCTTCTATTGTAACATGAAAATCATGAGTGGCTGTTCCCAAAAAATTGTTGGCTGTGCAGCGGTAAGTTCCTTTGTCGCGATAGGAGACATTCTCTATCTTCAATGTCTTATTATAATTTTCTTTCGTTACTCTTCCCTTTGGTAAATCACCACCCAGTTTGTCCCATTCAACCTGTGGAGTTGGCCTGCAAATAAATAAATAAACAAGCTAACTAACTAAACATTTTTTGAAAGTCGAAAATCAAATGTAAGAAACCATCAGAACCCATTCCTTATTGTGTTGCTTTTACACATGTGCTTGCGTTTCTGCTAAATAATATGAGCCTTGTCAGAGCATATCACCATCTATGGTGATCCTTGGAGTTACATCAAGTCTGTCTCATCACAAGCTCCTTTAATATTCTGCTTCCTCTGAAATCTTCAGTGGCCCCTCTGTAAGAGGGCTAACTAAATGTAAGTGCTGAATAGTTGTAACTGGATGAAGAAAGACAACTGAAGCCTGTTATGGATTGAATTGTGCCCTCCTCCCACACCAAATGTGTTGAAACTCTAACCTCTATGCCTATAAATACGACCCTGTTTGGAAATAGGTGTTTTACATTGCTGTGTTAATAAGGGCATATCAGAGTAGGGTGGATCCTAAACCTAATCATTTTTGAGTTATAAAAAGAGAATAGAGACTGAGACACACAAAGAGAGAAGACAAACACCAAGGAATGCCAAGGAAAGGCAAGGATTTCCTCTCTAGGAGAGAGGTGCACAGAAGGCATTGACGCAGCCTAGACCTTGATTTTGACTTTCAGCCTCCAGAATTGTGTGAAAATGTATTTCTGTTCTTTAAAGCCACTCATTTGTGGTATTTCTATTGCAGCAGCAGTAGGAAATGAAGACAGAGCCCTTAGAAATAGTACTACAAGGTATTTTTTTAAGTGTGAAAATCTCCCTGCAGGTGGTTTGAGGGAGCCACAAATAGCAGCCTTCTTCTATGCATGAGTTTGAAAAACATGATAAAGTAGGATACAACAGTCAACAGAAGGAGACAATGATAGCCCTTTAACTCTAATGAAGCTGATATTGGAGAATGTGGCTTCTGTGGGAGAGTGAAATATGCTGGTCAGACCTAGGAACAGCCCATTCTAGGGCATGTTGGGGTCTGCAAGGCAGATACTGTTACCAAGGTTGCTCTCTTGCTCTTCCGGGGAATAGAGGAAAGGAGCAATGAATCAAATCTCCCTTGCTTAGGGCTTTGAAAGAGCAGATCACCCAATCAAAACAAACAAGAACCAAAAAACAACCTGATAATTTGTATACACCACCAAGATCACTTTCTCTACCTTAGAGAGGTAGAGAAGAATGAAATCAACCCAGCTGGATTTAAATCCCTTCTCCTGGAATTCAGACAGTGAAGAACTGGTACCCTCTATAACTCATGTGATTTAAAATTATGTAGAAAGCATTGATGGATAATTTTTTTTTCCCTACAAATCAGGCTTTATGAGTGAGTGGAAAGAAGCTTGATTTTGCTATTTTTATTGCTGATATTTTTTCTTCTTAACCGTATTATGTTAATTATTTTCTTTTGTTTTTACCATTAACAGTTGTTAAGTTATTAAGTATGTGCTAAAGATAGGCATTATTATCATTATCTGAAGTTACAAGAAGTTAATTTGCTAAGGTCACTGGGGTAATAAATGATAATAAATAACTTATTAGAAGTTAAGTTTGTCAGATACTTCAATCTGTTTTTGTGTGTGTGTGTATGTGTGTGTGATAAATATAGAGGTAACAAAACATTTGCCAATTCTATAATCTTCACATGTACAATTTAGTGACATTACTTATGTTTATCATATTGCTCAACCATCAACATTAACCATTACCAAATTTTTCTACCACCCTTAACGGAAGCTCAGTGTCCCCTAAGCATTGCGTCTTCCTTTCCTCCTCTCTCCCACCCACCCCTGGTAACCACTGATAAACTTTGGTCTCTATATACTTGGCTATTTCATGTAAGTGAGATCAGTGTAATTTATTATATTTGTGCTATTTCCATCTATGTCCTTCTTAACCATTATTCTTGGACTATATGCTTGTAAGTCAAACCACTGGTTAGTTATTAGTGGATAACTGAACAATTATCTCAAACTGTTTGTGTCCGATATCTCAAATTATTTGTATTAATAGGCAATGGTTAAAATAATTGCTATTATGCAAAAAATATTGGAGGTCCAGATGAAGGCCCTTGAATTTACACATATCTACTCTCCGGGAAGAAACTCACTTCTCACTTGCTCTCTCTGCTCATGCTCAAGGACTTAGCTATTTACGGATCTAGAACAACTACTTTATATTTTACTAGGCTTAGAGCACATGGCACTCATCTGTTGTTGTTGTTAGTTTCTGTGGAGTAGATTCCAACTCATGGCAACCCCATGTGTTACAGAGTAGAACTGCTCCATGGGGTTTTATTGGCTGTAATCTTAATGGAAGCAGATGATCAGGCCTATTTTTTAAGGAGCCGCTGAATGGATTTGAACCACCAACCTTTAAGTTAGCAGTGGAGCCAAAACTGCGCCACCTAGCGGCCTTATGGCACACTTCTGTAGGAAATGGGATTGATGTTCAGACAGGCACTGTGAGTGTATATTAGCTATTGGCTTTCTGAGCACATCACCTAATAGGATGCATAATCCAAGTGTCCTAACTGCTTACTTTTCACTCCATCTGCCAAAATGGCAGTTTGCCAAGTTACAGGCTGCTAAATTGGCACCAAAAAAAAACAAAAACAAAAACAAAAACCCATGGCCATTGAGTCAATTCCAACTCAGAGCAACCCTATAGGACAAAGTAGAAATTGGCTTCCAAGGCTATAATCTTTATGGAAGCAGACTGCCACAACTTTCTCCCTTGCAGTGGCTGGTGGGTTTGAACCTCTGGCCTTTTGGTTAGTTTCATCAAAATAGAATTTTTTTTCATGAATCTATGCTTTAATAGTGCAAGCATCTCACTTTCTATTGTTTTATTTCATTTGTTTTTTAAATGTCATCTTTTAAAATTGATCTAATCCTCTAATACCTATTACTTGAAAGAATAAAATATGGTACTGGTACAACAATAGACACATATACCAAAGGAACAGAATTGAGAACCCGGATGTAAATCCATCTACCTATGAGCAGCTGATATTTGACAAAGGGTCAAAGTCTATTAAATGGGGAAAAGACAGTCTCTTTAACGAATGGTGCTGGCATAACTGGATATCCATCTGTGAAAAAATGAAACAAGATCCATCTCCCACATCATACACAAAAACTAACTCAAAATGGGTCAAAGACCTAAATATAAAACCTAAAACGATAAAGATCATGGAAGAAAAATTAGAGACAATGATAGGAGTCCCACTACATGGCATAAATAGTAGAAAGACCATAACTAACAAGGCACAAACACCAGACGAGAAACTAGATAACTGGGAGCTCCTAAAATTAAACACTTATGATCATCAAAAGAATTCGCCAAAAAAGTAAAAAGAGAACCTACAGACTGGGAAAAAATTTTTTGGCTACAACATATCTGACAAGGGTCTAATCTCTAAAATCTACAACACCTGAACAACAAAAAGACAAATAACCCAATTAAAAAATGGGCAAAGGATATGAACAGACACTTCACCAAAGACGACATTCAGGTGGTTAACAGACAGATAAAGAAATGCTCACGATCTTTAGCCATTAGAAAAATGCAGATGAAAACTCCAGTGAGATACCATCTCGCCCCAAAAATACTGGCACTAAAAACAAACACACACACACACACACACAAAATAACAAATGTTGGAGCGGTTGCGGGGAAATTAGAACTCTTACGCACTGCTGGTGGGAATGTAAATCAGTGCAACCACTTTGGAAAACGATATGGCTCTTCCTTAAAAAGCTACAAATAGAAACGCCATAGTATCTAGCAACCCCACTACTAGGTACATCCCAGAGAAATAAAAGCCATCACATGAACAGACATATGCACATCCGTGTTCATTGCAGCACTATTCATAATAGCAAAAAGATGAAAACAACCTAAGTGCCCATCAACAGATGACCAGATAAACAAATTATGGCACATACACACGGTGGAATACTATGCAATGATAAAGAACAGTGATGAATCTGTGAAACACCTCACAACTTGGATAAATCTGGGAGGCACTATGCTAAGTGAAATAAGTGAATCACAAAAGAATAAATATTGTATGAGACCACTATTATAAGAACTCAAGAAAAGGTTTACACACAGAAAAAAGCACTCTTTGATGGTTACAAGGGTAGGGAGGGAAGGGGAAGGGAAATCACTAACCAGATAGTAGAGAAGTGTCAACTGTGGTGAAGGGAAAGACAACATGCAGTATAGGGGAAGTCAGCATAACCTGACCAAGGCAAAGGCATAGAAGTTTCCTAGACACATCCAAACACCTCGAGGGACCAAGTTGCTGGGGCTGAAGGCTGGGGACCATAGTCTAGGGGGACATCTAGGTCAACAGACATAACACAGCTCATAAAGAAAATGTTCTACATCCTACTTTGGTGAGTAGCATATGGGGTCTTAAAAGCTCATGAGCAGTCATCTAAGATACATCTATTGGTCCCATCTGTCCAGAGCAAAGGAGAATGAAGAAAACAAAAGACACGAGGAAAATATCAGTCCAAAGGAGTAAAGGACCACATGAATAACAGCCTCCACCAGCCTGAGCTCAGAAGAACTACATAGTGCCCGGCTACCATCACGAGCGATTCTGATAGGGATCACAATAGAGGGTCCTGGACAGAGTGGGAGAAAAATGTAGAACGAAATTCAAATTCATAAAAAAAGACCAGACCTACTGGCCTAACGGAGACTGGAGGAATCCCTGAGACTATGGCCCTCAGATATCTACTAACTCAGAACTGAAACCACTCTTGAAGCCCACTTTTCAGACAAAAGTTGGACAGGCCTATGAAACAAACAATAATATACGTGAGGAGAGTGCTTCTTAGGGCAATCAAATATACAGGACCCATTGGGCAGCTCCTGTCCTAAAGCAAGATGAGAAGGCAGGAAGGGACAGAAAAACTTGACAAATGGATATGGGGAACCCAGAGTGGAAAAGGGGAGAGTGCTATCACATTGTGGGGATTGCAACCAATGTCACCAAACAATATGTGTATAAATTTTTGAATGAGAAGCTATTTTGAGTTGTAAACTGTCACCTAAAGCACTAAAAATTAATTAATTATAATATATTAAAATGTTATAATCAAATTTAAAAAAGAATAAAATAAAATCATTATCTATAAGTATCAGGTGAACATGAGACAAAATTTATTTAGGAACATGTCTACATATTTGCAAGAATTTCCAGCTATATGCTTGCCAATTTTTTTTTCTTTCTTTTTTTTTTAAAGCATCATTTAATAACAACATTTGAGCAATGAAATGTTGAGGGATAATATATTGCTTAATCTATTTTTATACACAAACAAGAACTCTCTCATGATCTAAAATTTTCATCCAGGTCCTTGTTCAGCCAGCTTTTATTCCTATACTTCCTTTGATTACAATGTGGCAAAAGAATCATACATAACTTGAACTAACGAATTTTCAAAAGACAGAGGCAAAACATTTTGACCAGGGCAGATGAGTCCACCACCACTGCAAAGGGTGTGAGTGAGTGTGGATTGGTGCGTGAATGTAGTCTTGTACTTCTTTCAGGATGTGAACACCTTACTCTTCTGAATGAGATTCAGAATGTAATTTTGATCATTCATAATTCCCACCTTACTTGCAGAATCTATAGAACGTAGACTCCTGACACAGGTTTCCCCTATAAAAACTCCTTTGCTGTAATAAATTTTATCTACATTCTCATTATTACCTAGCATTTACTGAAATGTCTACTACATGCCACTTCTATATATTCAGAGGGAGACCTAGTGGCGAAATGGTTAAGAGCTCAGTCTGCTAATCAAAATGTTGGCAGTTCAAATCCACCAGCCGCTCCTTGGAAACTCTATGGGGCAGTTCTGCTCTGTCCTATAGGGCTGCTATGAGTCGGAATAGATGCAATGGCACAAACAATAACAACATACATTCAGAGATAATGTCACTCTTTTTTTGTATTGTTTTGCTGTGTTTTTCCCCACCTAACTGAGCTGAATAGCTCATTTGGTTTAAATATCCTGCTGATGTAGTTATATTTGAAGGTAGTTTAGGGTTCTGGGGACAGGCAGGATGGAATCCCAGCTGCACCTTACACTATGCTTGGAGAAATGAATTAAACTGTCTGAGCTTCATTTACCTAATCTGCAAGTGGGAATATTAATAGCCATGAAAAGTAGGGAGGAAAAAATGAGCTAATGCATGTAAAGTGCAAAATATAGTATCTGACACATAGAGCATAATACGTCATAGCTATATATTTTTTTACTGTAGAACACATATAATTTTTAAAAATTCTTCAAGAAAATTTTAAAAAGTACTTTTGTGCAAATATATCCCCTTCATCTCAAAGAGGATACATGGGTCACCCAATGCAAACCTAGTACGAGTAAGAAGGAACCACTTCAAGTGAGAATTTAGGACAATGTATCAGGAATGGTCATACCAAGGACACCACGTATTGAGGTCCACTTTCTTTTTACATGTTGCTTCATGACATTTCATTTTCTAAGAGGCACATGAGAGAAGCATTTAGAATATTTTGAAGACAAGCTGTGAAGACGCCAAGCAAGTCAAGAAGCAAATGATGGCATTTGTGGGAAATAGGAGAAAAAGAATTACTGAAATGTTCATCCTGCCCAAAGAGTCAACCCAAAATAGTGATGAACCCTGAAAAAATTAATTTCTACCATTTAAATAAATAAGACCAATAGAGCAGGTGATTATCATCATGATTCAAATGGAATCTGAGGCTTTCCATCTTCTAAAACAATACAAAAAGACCACGCTTCTTGAACAGAAGCCACGTCACAGCACAGGTAACTAGCTTACATCAATACACACTGGCAATTTAAGACAGATAAGCAACCTGCATAATTTTGCTGGATGGGAAGAGAAATTTACAAAGCTTATTGGCTGTAAAATGAGGATTAAAATCTGCTCTTTCCTTCATGAACCAATTTAAAATCAGTCATTCAGAATACACTGAACTATGAGTGAACATGATTTTTACATTTTCAAGTCCTAGTTCTGTATCTAGACTCCTGGCTATAAGAAGCCCTTAACTTACAAACTGATTATGGTTTAAGAAGTAAAACTTAGATGCTGAGAAGGTGGAATGCATTAACCTATGACATACCCAATGTAAGGACAGACGTGTAGTGGTAGGAAACAGGTGATCTTGTAAGACCAAATATTAAATAAGAGGGTCTTTGGGGAAGAAAGGCATGGTGATCTACTTCCAAAAATTAGCCAATGAAAACTCTATGGATCATAAAGGCCCTATCCCCAACTAGTCATGTGGATGGGACAGGACCGGGCAGCATTTCGTTCCATTGCGCATGGGTTGCCATGAGTCAGGGACTGACTAAACCTGTTGCCATCAAGTCAATTCCAACTCACAGCGACCCTACAGGACAGAGTAGAACTGCCCCACAGAGTTTCCAAGGAGTGGCTGGATTTGAACTGCCAATCTTCGGAAATCCTGGTGGTGTAGTGGTTAAGAGTTTGGCTGCTAACCAAAAAGCTGGCAGTTCGAATCCACCAGGCAATCAAGTAGAGGTCCTTCAGGCTTTTCTTGGAACGTTTGGAAAAGCAGATTGCTTTTTCAAGTGTGAAAAAAAAGTTATGATAATGTATGCTTTGACGGCAAACTATATGACACAGAATGGACCTCCTCTATGTATGCAAAGGGCAGCAGATTAAACTATAGATAAGCAGGGCTCTTGGAATCTGAAAAGGGAGCAGAGCTAGTAGCACAACAAGCAGGAGTGGGCAAGATAACAAAGCACAGATTAAAAAAGCCCTGGCATTGGTAGTAATGGGCTGACTACTATCAACCTTATGTTCTAAGGATGGCATCCCCCTATTTAAGCTCAGGAGAATGATGTCATTGCCCCCTACATTGACACTATCACAGACTGACAGAGGGATCTAATTATAAATCAATCTCAGTCCCAGACTGAAGTCTAGAGAGGGAAGTGCAGATTACTTCCTCTAGACACGCATAACATTTTTACATGTGTAGCTAGGCACACTCTTAACCAATGTCTTATTCTTCACAGAACTGGCCTGGCTAAGTCATAAACAGGGGTCAGGTTACTCACAGGCCTTCAGCAAAACACTCCAGCAGCAGGGTGTCCCCTTTGAGGATGATGACTGAGGACTGACCTCCCATCTCCGTGGGGGGCAGCAGCAGTCTGGGTTTTCTTTGCTTGATCGAATTGGCTATAAAACAGAAAAGTCTCAGATTTTTTCAAGCTAAGATGGTTAAAGTCTTGTGGCACTAAATCTTTCTTAAAACATACCTATGAATGGACGGATGTATGTATTATGTGAGTGTGTGAGTGCATCACGTATACACATATATATTTCCATTTAAATAGATTCCTCTTCTCTCTGAACATGAAGCAAGGCTTGTCACACAGATGTGTTAACTAAGTGTAGCACCAAGGTTTATGAAGGTTATGATTAGACCACATCTTCTAATTCAGAAGTTCAAACACTGTTCAATATAATTAATTTCTTGATGTAAGCCCTTAAATTAATTGATAGTCTATGATTTTATATTCTGTACTTTAATCATCCCTGGTCATGTTTTACGGTTCTGTGTGTGTGTGTTTCTTTAATTTAGTGTGCTAAAGTATTATATATGGAGCCCTGGTGGCAAAAGGTTAAGTGCTCGACTGCTAACCAAAAGATCAGAGGTTCGAACCCCTCAGCTGGTCTGAGGGAGAAAGGTGTGGCAATCTGTTTCCATTAAGATTACAGCCTTGGACACCCTATGGTGTAGTTCTGCCCTATCCTGTAGGATCACTCTGAGTTGGAATCGACTCAACAGCAATAAGTTTTTGTTTTTATTAAGTATTATATAGGGTTCTTGTTAAAATGAAGCTTTCTGGGCTCTGCATCCAGAAATTCTGATTCAGGAAGTCTATGATGCGCACTAGGCATCTATGAACTCATCAAGCTCTTCAAGCAACTCTTATAGTCTTAGACCTTCACAGAGAAACAGCATTTTAGGGAATGATTAGCCAGCATTCTCACTAACTGCATATCGACATGTTCCATTTCTTATTTTCTATGAATACTTTTCAAATACAATGGCGAATTGAGAGATTTCAATTTTCACTGCAATTTTTTATTTCATTTTCCAAATGTTCTCCCAAATTGTATTTCCCATCCAATGTCAATGTGACTTGACATGATATGGAAAGAGAACAAAATAGATGACATTCTACTCTCTGTGGAGAGGAATGAAAGGCCCTGGAAGCAGTGTATACCTTACTGTAGCTTCCTTACAAGGGCTCATTTTTCTAAAAGTCATTGTTGAACATGTACTCTGGGCAATGATTGTTATTCAGTGCTGTGGACATGTAACAATATACACATTGTTAACTCAATCCTGTACATATGTGTGTGTGTATATATATATATGTATAAACCCAAACCAAACCACTGCCATCAAGTCGATTCTGACTGATAGTGACCCAGTAGGATTTCCAACATTGTAAATCTCTACAGAAGCAGACTGCCACATCTTTCTCCCATGGAGTCACTGGTGATTTCGAACTGCCAACATTTTGGTTAGCAGTCAGTCGCTTTAACCACTGTGCCACCAGGGCTCTCATATGTATATATATATGATTGAGTTACAGATCTCAAAGGAAATCATGTTGGGAATGTACATTTAAGCAGTCCATCTTTAAATTGAGGGTGCACCAAGGGGAACCTCCACCCACCCCGACTGATTTGCTAGTGTATTAGCCACTGCTCCAAATGATTTAAAGAATATTTGTTGCATTCATGTAAATGATTCCTCTCATTAGTGAAAGCTAGCCTACTGTAGAATTGAGGTTTACTCAGGCATCTTCCATAGAGCACCAGCTCTGGAAGATAGTCTATGGGAAGGAGGAGGGAGAGGTTTCATGGACAAATGAGTTTGGAGAATGCTGAAACACTGTTTTCTTTCTCAGAGTCATAATACACATTGCATATTAAATATCCCAAAAAAGTCTTGCAAAAAATATCCTTTTAACATCTGTAAACTCAGTGTTTTCTCTAGCTCTGTTGACAACCGTTTATTTTTCCTTTCCTTATGTAAGAACTATTAACTTATGTACCATGGGGGACATTTTGGGTGACTCAAAATAATTATCCTATTAAAGACATGTAGTTGCATATATTTTATATATATGTTTGTATATCACACAGAAAAATCTATCTTTTATATGTATTACATATTATGTAAACATATATTTATATATGCAGTTATATATTCATAAAGATCATTTCCTTTGCATATATTTAAGGGGGAGGGAAACAATAGAATACATCATGGTAAGGCCTTTTCTTTAACGGGAAATATAAGTATTTCAATAAACTCACAAAAGCATTAAAAGGAAAAGTCCAAATTCTGAGATGACAATGAGCTACTAAAGGTAAAAATAAATGCCAACACTCTACACGTGTTCCACTTACCCTTGGAACCAATTTCTGGGGATGAACTTGAGTCATTAGCATGCTTTACTGAAATAAGAAAAGATGGAAGGAAACAAAATGCAAACATAATGGTAGATGCTGTTATCAATAAAGAATGAAAAGCCTTATTTTTCTCTTAGAAGCATTACAAAATGGGATAGAACAGTGCCTCACTAGAACATTGTCTTTGGGGATATAATTAAAAAAGATCTCCAACGAGCTTCATCTTGCGTGTCCACAGAAAGGATCCGAATCAGACAATGGAGACTACCAAAAGGATGCTCTAGTGAAGCCCTGCCGTCATGTATCTACACATAACAATGAAAAAATTGCAGACCAGATCAGACAATGAAATGGTAATGCCAACTTTCGTCTATATTAGAGCCAATTATTCATTCGGTGAACTGTTGGGGATTATCTACGCCCTTTGAATCTTATGATTCTTCCTCTCACTAATTACTTTTTCCCATTTGGGAACCCAGACTGGCATCTGCAGGCATCATCAAGTTGGGAAGAGAAACAATTCAGCTAACTTTGCCAATCTGTCGGGGAGGGAGGTGTGTGGGGCAAAAAAGGCTTGCTATAATAAAAATGTTACTACTGCATCTTTTTATTTTTAACTCTTTTTTGATATTTCCTCCCACCAACCATTTCCAGCTGGCTGGGTTATCCAAGACCGCAGTGAATCAATGTCTGACAGTTGCTTACAAAACTCTGGAATTTCATTGTGCATTTTTTTCCACTGAAAACGACTAAGCAGACGTCAAATGAAATACATTTGTACCGTGAATTGAGATTTGATTTTCTGGCTGCCAGAGACAGAGCTACTGCGGCTTTGCAGCTGCAGATGTCTCTTTCATCCGGATGAAGTCTCTAGAGTTGCACTAGACAATGGTGGAAAATATCAACCCAGTTTTAAAAGGCTTCAGCCAGAATGAAATTATAGACACATTTGCATTCAGCATCCACGATGGAACGATAAATAATTTGGACTTACAACTGTTAACTGTTAGTTTCATTGGCATTTTCTGTACAATAGTCCTTAATCTTGGAAATGCAGCAAAGCAACAGTAATCATTCCGACTGTCTTTTTCTTCCACATTTGCGAAGTACAGATCTCCCTTTTGGCTCATGTATACTCTTTCATCTTGCTCGATGTGTTCTAATTCTGGAAAGAAATGTCTTATTATTAAAGGGGACACCTGACCCTTACTGTGCTTCATCTCCTTTTCATTTTCTTGTCTTTAATTTCATTTTATTTTTCTTTTCTTGTCTATTCTTCCTATTCGTAGCAAGTCTGATCTTACTATAGGAGCAGAGGGTGAGCAAGAAGAAAAAATGAATAAATAAAACTAGGAGCATGCTTTTCATCATTGACCAAAAAAGTCCACTAGTGGACAGTTTGTCTGGGCATGTCCACTTCTCCTTACAGTCTGGGCCTCTAGGGTGGCTCTTCCTGTCTGCCTTTGCTTATCTGAAAACTGGTCAAATCAAATAATGGGTCTAATTACAATTGTTAATTTCCTAGGATCACATTTCTTCCAAACAGAGCTCCCCAAAAGATGTCTGAGAAATTAATCTCTCTGCCCCGGATGCAGCCAGCAGGTTCTAGGGTAACTAGAGTCTGAGACTATTTGGCTGCAGCCAAGAGCAGCTTCATTTGCTTTCTTCTGATTTCTGTACAAATACTATCATTTTTCTCATGAGCCAAAATGAGAAAGTATTTAGGAAGCGTTGCTAAGACATAAGCCAGAAGTGGGATTTAAAAGAAGCTGGAATTTCAAGTCAAGTCACCAAATTAAACACAAAGGTAATATTAATTTCTCTGTGGACCACTGTATTTAGCAGATGGAACATTACTAACATTATTAACATAGAAATATTATTAACACAGAAATATAAAGCTAGCAACACAGACACAAGCCATCCTTAACTTTAACAGGGATTATATTCCAAAGGTAAGAAAGTTAATTGGAATATGGATGTATTTTCCTCAGAGACGTTTTCTAACATAAAAGCAGCCTCTGCTCTTTTCTAATATGGTAAAATCAAGAGGTATATTTGGTGATATTTTAGTGTTTTCATGTATACCCATCATTGTAGATTTAGGACTACGGGCTGACTGAAAGCAGGTCTAATTTTTCAAAACTCTATTTGATTTCACAATGATACCTAATATTAATTTTTATTTTTGTTTTCAGTATGTTATCTGCCATGATGCATGAAATTAAAATGCCCTCCTACGGACAGAACAGAACCTGGCTTACCAATATTCATCCAATAAATGTGTAAAGGTGGAAGGCCTTTGGGGGGGTTGCATGGGAGGACAATCGAATCTCCCTCCTCCACTTCCAGAGGGTCAATTTTTTCTTTCGGGAATTTTGGAACACCTGGTGTAAATAAATCATTTAAAGACATTATGTTAAAAATTGACTTTTAATGTCACAAGTAATTGCTTAATACATTTTTCTTTTAAAAAATTAGTACATTTGAATAAATTAGATACTCCAGATTCTGGATCTTACATCTCCCCTCGCAGAGACAAATACTTTTAAGAATATGTTGTGCACCCTTTTACAACCTGTAAAATACTTCTGCGTTTTATAGTTATCAGTCCCTGAGGAATGACCGTGCTGTGCAAACCCTGAGTCACATGGCTTGCTCATTTTAGCTTTGATTGATACACAATCTTTTTTTTCTCCAAACACTGTGATTTCTTTTTCAGGCAGTTACATATTCTCTATCTCTTGCTTTACTGTGAAGTCTTTGAATGTAACCGCCAAACAGTCCATTCACAACATTAGCCAAACTAAATAAAAAATTCAAAACCCATATGGGGTATCAGTGAGAAAGCAAGGAAAATCCAACAGGACCACTTTGAGTTGCAAAGAGAGTCATTCACACTGGAATCACTCCCAGGAAATGAAATTTTAAATGAAATGAAATTGATGTAGGAAATGAGACCTTCCAATATGTCAGCCTATTGTTTCTTTCATGCTGCAGCCAATCTGCTAAAAGAGCAATAGAGTTACAATGGGAGTGTAAGTCAGAACAAAGCAGAATTTGAAATCCAACACCAAAGTTTAAGATTTATATGAACCTATTTATAAGAAGGAGCCCTAGTGGTGCAGTGGTTAAGAGCCTGGCTGCTAACCAAAAGGTCAGCAGTTCGAATCCACCAGCTGCTCCTTGGAAACCCTAGGGGGCAGTTCTACTCTGTCCTATAGGGTCACTATGAGTTGAAATCCACTCAAGGGCAAGGGGTTTCATTTTAGTTCATAAGAAAATTCAAAATGTATTCTGCCTGAACATTATATTAGTGCCTTTCAACTTTGTTGAGGCATTTCCATTATAGAATTACACAGGTAAATCTTACGGAAGAAAACCAAAACCCATTGCTTTCAGGTCAATTCCGACACACAGTGACCCTACAGGACAGAGTAGAACTGCCCCCTAGGGTTTCCAAGGCTGTAATCTTTATGGAGGCAGACTGCCACATCTTCCTCCTTCAGAGCCGTTAGTGGGTTGGAACCGAAGACCTTTTGGTTAGCAGCCAAATACTTGATCTCTGTGTTACCAGAGCTCATTTCTTATGGAAGAGAAGGACTTAAAAAGAACCTTTATAATATTCCTGATTAGAGGGAGTCTATTAGGTGGTATCTCATTTCCATATTTCTTTCTTAAACTGTGGTTCACAAGAGATTATCATTATTATTGGAAGTCTAAAGATACACTCATTTATTGTAAAATTTCTTCCTGAGAAGCTTTGTATATTTTTTGTATTTTTGTCCTCTTCTGCCCCAGTCTCCCCGCTTCAACTCCTCAGAGGTTGAGGGAATTTGCTGACATTTTGTTTACGGATACACCAGCTGGTTACAATGAATTGCTTTTTGTCTAAGTTCAAGGACCTTTCCAGACTTGACGTAACAGGGGGCAGTGTGGTTAGCACAGGGTCTTTGCAAGTTTAGTAGGCAGACTTCAGTTCTCTTTATAGTTATGTGATAGTCCTTTGGTAGATTCTATTTTGGTCAACTTAGGGTTAGGATTACTATTTATTTCTTTATTTTTTTGCTTTTTAATCTTATGAGACTTGACATTCTAGCAGATGGTTGTTGGATTTTTCTTGGTAAACCTGGAAATACATTTGAAATGGCATCCATCTTTGAATCATGCTTTTGCTATGGGTAGCAAGACATTTTCATCAAACGACAGGAAAGCATATTTACTATGTCAAGATTGTTGTAGATAAAATATTAATGCCACCTATTTGGTAAAGCCTTGGCTTTGTTTGAAGGCGACAGGTATGCGGGTCATTTTGCAGTAACAGGTGTAGTAACTTACAAAACTCTTATATATCCAAAGCTTCAATTTCAAATCACTTGTTTAGTGTAACCTGCTATAACTGAAGTCCAGAATTCATTGGCATTGAAGTTAGCTTTGTTGTTGGGTAGTTTTTGAGTCTGTTTATACTCAGCTATAAGAGACAATAGAGGTAGGGGAATATAGATTATAAAATGGAAAAAATATGTAATCCTCTTCTAAAACAAGTGAACTTTGCACTACCTAACATAAATAAAAAGCATCCCTGGTGGCGAAAACTTTAAGGGTTCAGCTGCAAAAGATTGGCAGTTCAAAGCCACCAGGGGCTCTGAAGGAGAAAAGACCTGGTGATCTGTTCTGTAAAGATTATAGCCTAGAAAACCCTATGGGGCAGTTCTACTCTGTCCTATAGGGTTGCTGTGAGTCAGAATCAACTTGATGGCACACTACAACAATATAAATATGTAGCTCACCGAGCGATTTATAATGTAAAGTAGCTAATTAATAAGATATATAATTCCTGAATTAGAGAGCAGCACCCTCAGAGCATATGAAAAATCTAACGATTCAAATAGATAGTACTGCCAGTGAAGCAATATCATCCCGGCATTAATTAAATCTAGATTAAAAAACACTAATTCTATATAACTATATAATTCAACTGGCTTTCAAGGCATCGATAATGAAAAATAAAATATAATTTACGAGTCTACTACTTGTCTATCAAACCACTTTATCAGCTGCCATAGATCTTTGGAACAGCTTTTAACTAAAGATGAAATTAATATCTGGAAACAAGCAATAATATTCACACATTTATTAATTTAAGACCTTGGAAGAGATACTGTAAAGGGCATTAATTTGTCAACTTTTATTAGTCTCTACTCTTTGATTTTGAAACTATTTAGTAAGCCCGAGGCCATGCTAGAAAATGAAAATTTTTAACACTCACAGATAAATGTGGAATTTAATTACTGTAACTCAACAGGAGGCATGAAGTCTACCTTAATTCAAATAAAGAAATGACTCCATTTAAAAGTAACTAACCAATGACTTTTGCTAATTGAGTTCCTGTGGTGATAGACATTAGCATTGTTGAGTTTGGAAAGATGCAATACTTTTAAAAGTAAATTGTAAACCCTCATGTTTTCTTTTGTGTGAGGCAACTACACTCCTTTGATTTGCCAACATATTTCAAATGGATATTCTAGTAGCACCAAAAACAAAATCATCCAACTGTGTTTCAACAAGACTGGACTTGACCCGGGAATGGCCTCTCTGCAATGAGATCAGATGCTAATTGCACATTAGCATCTACCCAGAACACGTGGGGTTGCCATGAGTCGGAGTTCACTAGATGGCAACTGGAATCAAGACTTGGAGTCCCTGGGTGGAAACAGTTCACACATTCAGCTGCTAACCAAAAGGTTGGAGGTTTGAGTTTACCCAGAGGCACCTCAGAAGAAAGGCCTGGCAATCTACTTCAAAAATTCAGCCATTGAAAATCCTATGGAGCACAGTTCTACTCTAACACACTACACATAGGGTCACCATGAGTTGGAATCAACTCATGGGCAACTGGTATTGGTAATGAAGACTTTAAGACTGTTTGGGAATTCCATAATAACCCAGTTGAGATGAAGTCAGTTTCCTTTCATCATTCTTCGTGCATCAGCAAATCATGTCTATCACTGCATCTGTCTCTTTACTATTCTCCAGTACGCTTTCACAGTTATTATTCAGTATAGTAGACAAATTTCTAGTAACAACTCCAAGGGTATAAGTGACACTCAAATATATTCATGGCTAGGTTTCTGAAAATTTCTCCAGTTAGAATCTAGTATGGAAAATGTTTCCTAGAGATAAATGAGCTGCACACCAGTCTTCTTACTGGAGGTATCAAGACACAGGAAACTTAACAAGTGAGAAGTCTGTAGGAACTCTACAAGTTTTGGAAACTCACCATCTCAATGTTTTCAACCTGATATAGAGAAAATATTATCTGTGTACTTGAAATAAAGAAAATTCCTGAAGAATTTAATCTTCTTAGGACATTCGATGGGGCTTTAGCATAAACTGAGTTCTAGCCAAAACCCTAAAATTAACTGGCTGTGTAGCTGCAGACCAATATCTTTTCTTTTCTGCATCTCCACTTACTTTTCTCTGGAATCCTAAAATCCTTTGAATCCATCTCTTTGGGTTCCTCAAAAGCCTCACTAGGTTAGAAGCCTCTTAATACAAGAATGCTGTAAAACCTAGACTGTATAATCCCACCATGCCAAACTGCTTATTAGCAGAGAATAATTATGAAAATGTCATTAGGGTCATTTAACTAAATATAATTCATACTAACTAACCACTGCAGTGAAGAAAGATATTGGCAACTGAACCACTGTCAGGTTGTGTACCTCTACAGATTATCTTTCTCTGGCACTTAAGAAATAAAATCAAAATTTTCCCTATACTCTCCTGACTCTACATGACTCTGATTCTCTACTGCAGAGATATTTTCAACAAAAAAGTTCACCTCCTTCTAGCTTATCTAGAGCATGTGTTGCCTGAATGATCAAGGTAGAGGCAACCCTGTATAGACAGCATCAGGGTTATGCACATGGACTTTGGAGTCAACTGCTTAGAGGTGAATCTTGGTTTCATCACTTACTCTGCAACCTTGAACATGTTGCTTAATGTACTTCAGTTTCCTCATCCATAAAACAGGAAATGTAATTAACCTAACTCAAAGATTTGCATCAAATTTTAAATAAAAGATTTAGAGTAAATCAATTAAAAATATTGCCAGGCACTTAGAAAGTACTCAATACACATTAGCTATTATCCAAATGGAGCCGTGGTGGCGCAGTGGTTAGGAGGTTGGCTGTAAATCAAGTAAACGGTAGGCAGTTTGAATCCACCAGCCACTTCTGGGAAACCCTATGGGGCAGTTCTACTCTGTTCTGTAGGATTACTATAAGTTGGAATCAACTCGACGGCAATGGGTTGGGTTGGATTTGCATTTGGTATTATCCAAATAGTTTTACTTTGCTATGCACATGCAGCTACATTGTAGAGA